TGTTGAATGTTGAGAGGCTTTGTTTGCCCGAACAAATAATCCCACGCTCCACTGTGACTGCGCGAGAATCGAAATAAAGACATATTCACTACTTGTCTGGTTTCTTCTATCAATAGCACGTGGGTTACCTTAAGGCAAGAAAGATTTCAAGTTGACTCGCCTTCTCTATCGCTTATTGACCAGTCAGGTAAGAATAGTTTTCGTCTCTCAACTCAATGCAGTTAGCTTCACTTCGAACTCACACGTTTCTAGACTCAAGATTAGGGATGTCAGCCTATCGTTTCAAAGCCTTAATCAGGATTGAGACAAGTTATCTTCTGTATGCTAGTGGGTATACAAATCAAGGAAGTGACATTCGTCGTAGAACATAACAGGATTCGGTGTTGCTCTGTCTAGCGAGAGTTATCCTAAAAAGTGGATACAAGCAAACCATATAGCACAAGTATTCTGGAGGCAGTGCTCCAAGGAATATGTTTCTTTGTTACAACGTAGATACAAGTAGACTCAGACAGAAGTATAAAGTAAAGCGCCATCATTGCTATATCTCTTGATTTCTAAAGTAGAAGTACGTGGCCTTTGGTCTAGTGCAGATTGATACCTAGTAAAGATGGACTAGTGAGGCAAGTAAAGCTGAGGACTTTTGAAAACAGTGTCTTTTTGAAACAGCGGATGGTAGGTAGTTACACGGGTCCCTGGGTGTACTTACGTAAGTCAGAGGGATCACTTAGTTCAGTGTCTTCAGTCGTAGTGCGGCAACCTTTGACTTATGTTTGTCTTCGATCGATGTTCCTGGATACGTTCTGCCAATTATTAGTCTGTGGAAAAAAATTTATTGTTGTCGTGAGCATTACAAGAGGAACGCAAAGTGTTTGACAGACTGTCATGTTTATTTCATTCAAACTATGCACCTATTTGTTTGAGATTTCGACCATGAACATTTTTGATTTTATGTTATTTTTGTTCGGTGTTTTTAAAACTTCCTCCCTGTAAACCTTGGAATTGAAGGATTTCTGTGAGACTTGTTATAATCACCAACAGAAAAATGTATTCACTTTGATTACTCATAATTTACGAATGAATGTTCGGCACCTGAGATAAAACACTTCAAAGTATGCTTTATCTACATATCTAAGCAGCATACTGAGGCCACTTCAACAAAACTTAATTAACATCGTAAAGTAATCATATTAATTCTAACCAGAGATTTCAGGATCACCTATCAAAAAAACGAAAAATTGTAAGCCGGGGTATTATATCTTTATACACCGTCACTCAAATCGATAGATATATAGGCTTTATTGATGGTTTACTGGAGAATAATAATACTTTATCCAGCAGATGTCCATTAAACGTCTAATTATTAACGAAATTTCTCATGCTATGCTTGAATTCAACACTATTCACCTTCAAAGGGACTTCATAAAAGCAAACAAATAAGGTAGTCATAGGTCTTCACTATATCGGATTTTCGCTAGTTTATTTAAATGCCACTTTGAGTCAATTAATTCTGCCATTACCACCAGATTATACATCCGGTTCAGACATGTGAATGACACATTTGTCATTGTTGAAGACTGTTCTTAGGAATTTCCCGAAACAGATAAACACGTTCTCAGAAAACATTAAATTCATCTTTGAAAAGCGAAATGAGCCTTTTAAACTATCACTCTTAGACCATGTAGGTGAAGGGGATTCTAATGGGAGTTTAAACCTAACCATATACCTTAAACTGATACATTCAAATCGGTATATCAGTTTTAACTCTGCATTTTCGTTCATTCGTTCCAAACGTTTTCCTAACCCTGGATTTTTTAGAAGAACAACCAAGATTATAATTACAGAAGACAAGTTAAAAGAAAACAATAACGTAATACACATCCATGATTGAATAATTCTGTCCTCCTGTAACTGACGATCCCAATGAATGGTCTTTGATTGTTACTATAGATTTGCTTTACCGCTGACGTACGACAAGAAAATTGCAACGGATCTTGATCATTTACAAAATCAAATCCTTCCAAAGGACAACCAAAATTAAGAAACGCTTTAGTTCGAATAAATGATATGACCCTATTCATTTTCAAACAGAACTGGGTACAGATTGCGTTGTATCGATTGCGGTGCGTTCTTTATCTGAAAGTCTTCTCATGAGATCTCGACCCGTGCAAAGAAACAGGTTGGTTACAAAAAACAACCAATATCTATATAGAACTGGAAAATCGGCAATAGCAATACTGTTTTCAGCAATCATTAAATTAATGTCAAAAAAATCATAATAATTCGGGAGGATTTTACCAGTATTTAAAGGCTGTGCTTAGTCGAAGATTTTCAAATAATGCTAAGTCCTCCTCGTCTTCAATAAGAAATAACGTCTGGATATTCATTCAATCTGGAATGTTTTTCCAGGCAACTACATTTGACCGTATTCATTTTCCACACAATCTGCACACACACGCATCCGATTTCGATCCTAATACGTCATATTTCGTATACAGACATTTTACACTTTTCATACCCGCCTTCTGACAAAAAGATCAATGTAGCGATATGTCATGCAGAATCAATTTAGCTAAAATAACATGATAATTACATATTCATATCTGTTATGATTTTGACTGTACTAAAAATATTCTGCATTATTTCCTTTGTACTACTTGAACTTGTGTTAATTGAAGTCATTTGTTTTCTTCGGAGTGACCATCATTAAATCATGATATGTCAGAGATATAATTTCCCACACATCGAAATGATGTATTTATTATTAGCAACAACAGGTTTTACAGAATAATAATTCATTTTACTTCTTATACCTTTGTCAAATGGAAAAAGCCTGATTTACAGGAAGAAATATTATAAATAACTTTTTAACGAACCTTAGTTATAGACGTCTCGATAGGTGTTCGATGCTTAATCAAAATCATGAGACGAAGAACAGGACACAAATTCTATGCATCAAACAAATAAGATCGATATGTATTTATGTGCAGGAGAGCCGTGACGTGGAGTAGAATTGATGTCTTAGCAACTTGTAATCATAGTGAAAAGAAAATAATTTATGTAAGTGTAGCAAAATTAGCAACCGATTGATATGTCTTCTCAAATGAATTCCAGATTTGGCTCATACGCTCTGCTAGTAACCCCAAAACACGACGACGATAACCCTAGTCGAAAATACATTCATTTATATACTGATTCGTGTACCGATTTTTATTAATAATTAGGATGGAATTCCATTTATGAAGAATACTTACAGTTGTAACAAATCACATGCTGCATGTCATGCTGGGCATAGTTCATGTTAATTTAACATAAGAATATCGTATGTTATACAGAATAAAATATCATACGGGAAAAAGGCAAATACTACATTGAGTAATCACCACACAGAATTAGAACAGAAGTAAAGTTGAACAAAAGTTGATTCTTTTGTTCGTATCAAAAACCTAGTATCTTCACGCCAAGTATAGTCACCAGAATGTGACAAAATCTGTTCAATAATCTCAAAATAGTGTGCATAAACCACCGGTACACTGTACGTGATCTGTTCATGCACTTAGTAGGGTCGCAGGAACTTTCAAGAGAATGAACTCAGGCTTCTCAATCCCCAGTCTTTAAAAGAAGACATTGCAGATTAGTCGCATTACTGCCAGTACTGTTGAGGTAATGAAAGGGTTGTAAAATGAACAAACAGGGGAACGTTTGGACAAAAACAACATCCTCCATGAACTTTAGCACAGATTTAGGAACGATAGGTTTTGTGGGTCCAATTTTCCCACAGAGTGGAACAGCTGGACAACCTGCTGAGACCAAACGTTACCAGTTCATGCATTATTTCTTGGCTTCTCAGAAGCCCTCAATAAAATGACGCACGAACTCCTCAAAGCTAAGTTAGTATACATAGGTTTCATTGACCATCTACTTTGGCTCTGCAACCACCCAAAGAATTAGAGCACATAAGGAGGTAAGCGAATTACAGTCACAGCAACAGGCGTTTCATAGGGAACAATTTTAAGTCAATGCCTCCCTTTGATCTTCGTTGATGACTTTAAGGATAAAATGAGCTTGGTAACTCTGGTGCATACAAGTGACACAAATAGCGAAATGTGTTCACTTGAGTTTAAAAATGACCTCACAACGCCAGATAAATGGGTAGTACACAATGGGTTGAAACTTGACCTGTCGAACATTCTGCTTCAATTAACACAAAGAATCCACTCTGTTTATGGAAACGTTTCCCGATAGTATCCCCAAATCATGACCTAAAAATAGTGTAACCACAAAGAGTTTGGATACCGGTTCAAAATACATAGGCACGAATCTCTAAGACCAAGCATAGAAACGGACATCCAAATAGTGATAGGCCCAAACACTATCGTCGTTGAGCTATGGTAAAATTAGTGGTAACCTGTAAATGGAATCCGACATACTGAGTAACTCAATTTCCCCCAGCATGTGGATCCTGTCAGAACATCACCACTACGCCCCCTGAAACAACCCCCGATAAACTGCACACCAAAGTGAACAACCAGGTACTCTCTCAATTTTTCACATTAAGAGTTCCCCCTACTTCGAATGTTCTGCGTGCGGAGGTGACCACAGTTTCCTCATTACATAACTTCAAGGGGAGACTTGACAAACACCAACTCATCTAAGGACTGCCACTGCAAGCTTGAAGCCGGTGTACTTGATACATGTCCCATTAATTATGACTGTCATCAAAATCACATATTGGCAACTTCTCTCTATTTTCCTCATTATAATCTCTTCTTCCCACTCAATTCTTACACTTCGAAATCTTCATATTGTTTGCATTACTAACTCACCAACATATTTATTTACAGTTTGTGATTGTGGAGATTTATAATTTCACTGAACTCATGACCGACCATTGTAAGACCACCATTGAAAATTTGGACGAACCGGACGGCCGTTTCGTCCTAGTATGGGACTCCTCACCACTGTGTATTCACGATCTAGCACGTGGTATTCGGACCCAGGACCTCCGGTCTTAGGAGAAAGCTTAAACTCTAGATCACTGAGCTAGTGTCCATCAGTACCTGAAGTTGCTAACTTCTCTTCTGAGCCATGTTAGCTTCCCTTAGTCCATGGGATTTAAATTGCTTCATGTATTTCTTTCCACCAACTAATTCGTTCTTTTTGTACTATATTCCTACATAAAATCTTCTACATATTACACCATTGAGTTCATCTTGCTGTGCTAATGCGGTATGGCAACTTGTCTTAGGTGAGTAACTGCCTCAGACTCAACGCGGTTGAGTTCGACGAGCTACGGTTTCCCACCACAACTTTGAGAATTCCCTCTCTAAGCTAGTCACATGGTAATTTTCAGTTCTGCGTTATGAGTTGTTGTATCTTGCGGAAAATTGGAATTATTGCGTTGCTTAGTAATGTGTATGACTGTTCATCGCTACATGCGTTAAGCTAACAGTCTGACACAACAACAGAACATACTTTCCATTTAATGTTGACTATAAAAATATAGTTTCGTGCAATGGCTACAAGTGTTATTAATATTAATAGTACTTCGGATTCTTTATAACTGTCACAACACTTTTCGTTGTGCTTCGCGTATTCTTCAGGATTAACTGGAGTATCAGTGAACCAAAAGATTCAGTACCCAGTTACTTTAAAGGTCTATTTCTCACTTACATATACACATGAAGGTGAATAGACCTCAAATTACGGTGGAATACCTTGTTTGATTTAGATATATTCTACAGTGTCATGGGAGTATCCTAAGTTATGATAGTGTTTATCTGGATAACATTGTCATTCACGCTCATGGGCTACATATTCTGCGTGATTTTGAGGTAAGACGATTTAATTCACATCTGTAGCAAGTGTATGGTGATTGAAAGAACTCAGCCTACTGTAAAAATGCTCATCTTCAGCAAAGAGTATTTAAGGCCGAAAAAGCGTGTGCATGAGTGGGTTACTTGTGATTTCTTTAATTCTTCCTCATAGGCCAACAGATGCTTACTTCGATCACACAAAGGTTACAATTGGAAGTAGATCTAACGAAGCTCTGCAATCGGTAATCTCAATTTATTCATCTGATTGTTTAGATATTTGACTTACTGCTTAAAGAGTACATCGAATTTTGGTATAGGTATGTATGATCGTCCGATACTATATATCTTCAGACCGTTCACTTCAAACCCAGATTTTATGGTGCAGTTGAAAATGTTTTTACAATATGCTTGTGCTGTAATTGTCCAAAGAGTTAAAGATGTATGTTTCTTTAGTAGAAAATTTTTTACTCTACAGATCGATCTTTCGGAGTTCATTGTTAACCGGTTTATCCCACATTTCTTCGACCATATTGTACATATTTTATCACTTACTTGTTCTGGTAAGCTATGTTCCTTTCATACTCGTTCAATTTTAGTGTTTAACTTGTACTTGCACTTCAAAATGATACAAATCTTGAGTGTGCACACTTACACGAACATCTTGTGTGTCTAGCTTATTTCAGACTTTTCTCGAAGTCAAGTTTACTTGACTATCTGGTCCAATCATATTGTCTGTTTACATCCAGTATAAATTTTCGTAAACTAAGTTTAAAGCGCTTTATAGATTGACCAGTAAAAATTTAACCTCCGTATAATAATAAAATGCATTTGCTTAGACAAAAATATCATATTGCCGCATAGATATCTACCATAATGTGTTTACAATAGAGAATGATGACTTTTCCGGTACAACGTTTATTTATATTTAACACTTTTGTTGTATTCAAAGTAAATAAAAAGTGGTTGAATACTGATAAGTCTTTTGATGGAATCTGATTTGCCAAAACTTTTCCACCAATGTAAGGGCATTTTGTTTACACCATTTCGAATGTGCTTTAATTTTCTGACATTGTTGGCAATCATCAAGGTACTAGCGTCATTCAATTAAATAACAAGCTGGTTTTGTTAGCCATTCAATTTCGTGGGGTTATTAGAGACATATTCCGTATCCTAAGACTATTGATTAGAACTAAACCTAGGGTTTTAATGAACATTTCAAATAATTTTTTGCCGTCAAGTTTTCAATCTCATCCACAAAATTATTTGTCAGTCGTTCCAGTAATTAAGTATTAGGCTTTTCATTTGAATTAAATATTTCTCAATTTAGGTTACTGTCATTTAAACCAAGAAATTTCCACACAAGTGAATTTTTTCCCATGGAATACCGAATACTAATGATCTTTGAATTTCGGCCATTGTAAACGATAAGAAATCTACATAATGAAGACCTAGGACATAACGTAATAGGAACAATGATTATCGTCACTTCTATTATTCAGATAAATGTATCAGTGCTTTTTAAACGACTAGCAATATTTTCCAAACAGTAGAAATTTTATTGACTATTTAGGCAAATGGTTTAATAAAAATAGTTATCGTCTGCCTCAACGATCATTTATAGTACCGTTAGATAATACAATGAATCTATTTCTGATGCACATTAATTATGCATCCAAAGTTGTTTTTTATTGTTTTTCGGCTTTCTAGATTATATAGGCCAATATTTTTGGTGTTGTAGTTTGGTGAGGAAGTCATTGTAGAGATATTCTCAGGCAATCGATCTCGAAGACTAAAATACGACAGATCTTGCCGAAATTTGTATTCAGGCTTTCATGCATCTAGGAAATAGTAATCAAATATTGATTCATGAAACTATGACCTGTGAGGTCACCTACCTGTGTCTAAGTAGTAAGTCAGACGCATTATAAACCTAAAACTCGAATAGTTCAGCTCCCAATTGACCACTTCACTACTCGTTAAATTAGATTTGTTCTAGTATGTTGCAAAAAGTGTATATATGTTCTGCCGTGAAATAATCCATTATATTCGATATCTCCACGTTATGACGGCGCGTATCGTTAAGTTTTTGTTCATCCTTTATTTATTTCATCCATAGATAAGTTATATACTACCGGTGTTAGTGACACACACGAGGAAACTCGGACCATGTTGAAGGAAAATCATTCCCGTAAAAGGTATCTGACCTTTAGATGTTTATTAATGTTCATACTTTTTAAGCCCGTTGAAATCTTGTTCCGAAGAAGCTGTTTTGTGTGCTTTTGGAGATCGATTACATGCAGCTCTGTATTCAAGACAAGCTGAAGTAATGTATTTACGTGCAGTGGTCAACCGGTTACTACCAGTTCTCGGCATGCCACCCAGTCTCTCATCATCAGAAATGCATAAATCAAAAGAGCCTTCTGTTGATCACGGTCATCGCTTTCGACGTAATCGTGTTATGCACAACTCTCCCGGACATGTGTATGGTAGTTCAGAGCGTAGTCGTAAATCACCTGTTGTTTCACGGAGTGCTTCAACTAGTGCGTTATTTTTCCAGAAGTTTATGGAACTGGGTTGTAATCCGTAAGTAACAGGATGTATATTGTCCATTCATTTGCATACTGTTAATTTAGAAATTTTTTCTTGATAATTTAAATTTCACGCAAAATCCTAATGAAAGAATTGAGATAGTTGTTTATTTCTCTTCCTCGATGATAAGTTAACGTTAAGTAAAAATGAACCTAGTAGAGGTATTTAACACTGGCCATTCCTCATAAAGCTTTTGTTACAAAGTAAACGGTGATTATTAACCAATTTTTTATAAGAGTTCGCTTAAAATATCCACATACTTCATTTATGTTCATGTAAACCACTGACAAAAATAAATCTGTAATCGTTCAAGAACAGCTTGAGTTAACTTTCTTCTTTCTTTTTATGTTAGCATGAGATGAAGGGAGTTAGAACTGATACACATTTATACCAATTTCTCGAATGCATGTGATTAGCTGACATGAACAGCTAATTTACATTCACTCAGTAGGTCACAATGTAGAACCTGTACAAATGTACATCGATTCAAGTTCCCATACCCCATTAGCACAGAAAGGTAAAGTTGCCAAGTCAAATCCCAGAATAGTAGAGGTAGCAACAGTATCAGTGGTAATAGGATTTCAAGTGTTTGCTTTATGGACAAATTATAGTACGATAGGGCACAAAAAAATCCGGACAATGAAAAGTGATGACATTGTGAAAAGAACAAGAATTGTAGGGTAGTACAATCAGTTGGTAAATGACCAATTATGTTGCATGTTATGAGATACCGTTCAGTTTAAAATACAGATAAAATCTACATTCGGTTATGGGAGTTTTTTCTCACTTGCATAATGATAGTAGTGGAAAACTACAGCAACACTGCCACTCCAAGGCATATCTAATGAAGTCTCCAACCACTGAGGTATATAATCTCTAGGACACCAACCGGGGAGTTTTTATGAACCGAAGGATGTCAGCCATACATAACTGTCACTCATACTGCGCCACCACGTGATAAACTGGACACCTATCCACTTTTTTTTCACTCTGTTCCAGTGTCGATAAATGATGCACGATGTAAAATCCTTGGGACAATTCATATGGCATCAGCCCTTGTGTATACCAACCTGGTTTAAGTGTCGCTCATCCGCTCTCCATCCTCACTTCTGTAAAACTCTCACCACATGAGGGCAACAAACAGAAATTTCCTTAAAGAGGTCATAATTCGTGACTATTTCAAAAGACAGAACGAACTTCCCACCTTCAACCGTATCAAAACCTTTTAGTTATTGGTCATAAAGTAGGAACTAGTCATGGTTATTCATTTAATATTCACACAGCACGGTGACATTAATAAGAGTCGAATTCGAAATGACTTAGGTATGTGTAGCAAATAATTCAGAAGAAATCAATGAAGTGATATTAAAGGAGTGAATGTATTTCCGTCATTGCTGCTTAATGTTAAAGTATGTCATCTAAAGTCTCTAACCATGGATAACAATTATTGCATGTTGACTATGGAGAAAATGTTTGTATTCTAGGACATGGTTCATTTCACGTGACAGAAACATTGTAGACTTATCCCATATCCCCTGGTTTGACCACCTCTAACTTTCTTATAACTTATTCTTACATCAGTAATCAGTGCATCTTGTAATAAGTTGGGAATGAGAACATGTAACACACGAAAATGCACAGACAACTCATCAACCAACCAGTAACGGTGCGTTCTATTAGTGTAGTTAATATGTTGATGTTTTTTTTACTACAAATTTGACAGCTCTGTTGTTATTTCGAAATATTAATGTAATGCTTTTAATTTTCAGATCGTTGTCTAGTTTTTTAATAGAAATACTATCTACTTGTGTTTTATTGCCTGCTATGGACATTTTAGCTAATTCTGTAAGTTAAATGTTTTGTCATATGTATATTCATGTGACTTCTTTCTAATAGTATTTACGAAGTAAAAGATTACATGGTAAAGTAAGAAACACCTCAGTCATTCATACATTCTGTCGAGGACTACTGAACTGTAAATAATGTTTTCAGTACTATTGGCTTTTAATACTGGTGTTTCTTCTTACGTAGAACTTGTTAATTGGATATATTTATATTCAGTCGTTGATGTTCACTATAAGACTCGAACTTAGTATTGCTATGTTAGGGTTTAATTGATATTACTCGATGAGATTTACCAATCAGAATTCAGACTCTAATTCTCTACCTCAAGTATACTTATTTCAATCTCTGTCTTAATGTCCTGTACTTTGAACAGTCATACGTTTTGACTGGTAACAACGATTGACGTTGAGTCTTGAGCACGGTAATCTAAATGCTTATTTATCAGGACGGAGTTTCCTCTCTGACCTCAGTATTTAGTCTAATAAGAGAGCATGGCAAACAAATTAGATCTCTGTCGTGCAGTTTTTCCGATGTGCTTCAACCTGTACATTAATATACAGTGAATTCCCGACCTACACAACAATCGAAATCGTAAATTAAAATCTGGACGTAACTACGCGAAAAGTGAAGAAGAAGAAGAAGCAATAGGTTCGTAATTAACTAACAATAATTTAGGTAAGATTTGCAACAGTATTTTATGCGCCAAACGAAAGCTTACAATTAAAGGAATGTAAGAAAACATTAATCCAAGTGCCTTGTCATTGTACATTCATTCCTTCAAAGAAAATTTACAAAACTTTACATTCACCTCAACCAACTTGTAAGTTAAAGTATATATTTCACTCATTTCGTTCTAGTAGCGTGGCTCAGATTCGGTCATAGTTTGGAAAATTCATTTACACATTCTAATTTCTGAGCCTTAACTTTGGTTGGTACTTTTTATTCTTCTGTAAATCACCCTTTTTTTCGAACGGTATTCGGTAAAAATATACTTTAAGGACAACCAAATCAGAATAGAGAATAAGACTGATTTTTGAACGAAATTCAAATATCATGCATCACGGGTAGTAGAAATACCTTTGTATACTGCTTAAACTGTTGAAAGTGATAGCTAAAAACTATTTTTGGAAACCACAGAGTAAAAATGATGTAAAGTGTATCATTTAGATCGTATATAACAAGATAAGTCGACACTATCCCTAAATCATAACCTTGAAACCTTAATTCTGGAATGAACCATCAACCTGATGGATGAGTGAAACTCATTCATCCATATAGGCATAGAGTACTTTTATATCATGACTGATATCAGTTCGCTAGGAAAACCCTAACATTAACCAGGAACAGTGTGAGGACTTAAAAATCTGTTTGGCTCCTTCTAAAGGTTCGAAAGTACGGGCAATCTATATCTATTTATGGGATTCTATGTATCGTTGTTTTTCTGAATTACTGATAGGGTAATCTATTTAGAGACCACCGATTCATCGATTAAAGCAAAATCTGTTTACACTGTGTAATATTATTGCTTGGCTCTTTTTAATAAGCTATACATTTATGAAAGCTCTTTTCTGATTGGTTCGAAACTAATTGTAAAGTTGTCGTGATTACTTTGACCTCGTTCTCATACTACTCTGTCACTTTATTATCCAATACTTAATCTTACTTCACTATCATTAATACTACTCTAATTTTGACTCGTTTTTTTTTATCCTGTAAATTTCATTTTACCATGCTGATGATAACTTAGGCTAACACACCATTGTTCCAGTTTCCCCGTTCATCATAACTGTCTGATTAGTCGCATCAGTTAATGCTTAGTGTATGTTTGACTCATAAATCTAATGCAAACATTTGCCTGGTTTATCGATCATGTCATGAGAATCGAAATAACTTTAGTTTTCGCTCTAAAATTTTATATTGGTACACTAGGTATCCTCATTTATCTTTTGGGAGTTTTCTCAGCATTTATCATATGAATATGTATTCGTTTTTTTTATAGAATGAAAGTATGATTTCATATTTCAATTTTATCTAGTCTACTAAAATGTACCATAGGAATGATCCCATTTTTCCTATACACACCGAATGTCCCACATACTTGGTTATATTGACCAAGATAAAAAAACATGGTTAAAAAGGGTAACTAATTATATTTTTTTTTTGTCAGAGTAAAGCTAAGAAGTAGTTGTATCAATTTGGTTTTTTATCAAATACCTCAATCAGAGTAGAGGATAAATATCCATTATCCTCTATTAGCAAACACAATTGAAATAGGTCACAAGATTGATCTTAACTACTCGGCTTTTGTGGTGTTGTATAAAAATGTAAAAGGGCGTATTCTAAGGTTTATTGAAGACTTAGCCATACGAAAATTCAACGCCCCCTGGTAATATCAGTTTATTATGCAGAAGCGATGAGGTTTCAAATTGTTTTCACAACATCATTTTCTTTATTATCATTGTCTTCTATGATCCTCCATTTCTAGTCTAGTTGAAATTTTAGTTTTTATATATAAATGTTCTTAAAAGTATATATTTTTTTAATAGTTGAGATCATGAGTCAATTGAAGCTAGATCAGCATGGAGAACCTGGAAGTACTAGACGACCGCTTCGTCTTATTGTGGGACTCCTCAGTATTGTGTATCTACGATCCCGCCTCGCGAGATCCGAACCCAGGGCTTATCGGTCTCGCGCACGAACGCTTAACCTCTAGACCACTGAGCTCGGTGTTAATGTCTAACTCCAATTAATCCACGAAATTGAGCGACACATCCACCATTGTCTTCAATGAGTTATTATCTCACAACGGACCTGGTTGAACTCCACTGATCCTTATTTATTTTTCCATTTGAACACATAGATATTGGTACAAGGTGGCATCAGATACATATGCACCACATAAATCTCATTTGATTTTTGTAAGGGCTGTGATACTGACCGGGTGCCCAAACCAAGCTATGTGGTTTCTTGGGGTTCCACAGTCGGGACCTTCGACTTAAAGGTCTGATCCACAAGGCACTGGAGCATCATGAGGAGATGCAGTCCCAGGGTATCCGGTGACCAACGATTGGTTCACACGCCATTTGTTCCTTCAGGATGACGGTGCCCGTGTGCACTGTTGGTTTGAAATGAAGGTTTCCCAACTCCCCTAGATGGATCCTGCATATCCACCAACCCGGTTGAATCTCGGGACATTCGTTTTTGTCCTCTAAATTTCGTAAACGCCGCCGCCGCCGTGAGAAGGCAGTGAGTAGGACTTCCCTGGCAGAGGCTATATACGCGTGGCCACTTCAGAGTATTTGGAGAAGAGAGCTGACTTTCCCCACTCTCGGCCGTACTAGGGCATTTGGGGGCCTATTGAGATTTGTGTGGCGCATATGTATCTGGTACCCCTTGTAACTTGGTCCACTGTGATCAGATTGTTCGAAATGTATTACACTAATATACCATCAAACAGTTCTGATAATCTTCATTTTCTTATATTGCACTATCGAAATTTATCAAAGAGACTGATTGCTTTAAATTATTTTACTCTATTTCAACTTTTTATTCTGATTTGTTTTCATTCTTGGTTTAATTTTATTCTCCAACTCACACAACAGCTTATCTCAGTTGGAATTTCTATCCCTTATTTTTAAAGTTTCAATAGAGGTGAGCTATTGGATGAGTTTAGAGCTGAAATGTATGCACAGAATAAACATTAGTCAGTTAGTCATTAAACAACTTAGAATCTAATTCATATTGTCACATCCTATCAACACAGTGAGTATATTAGATTAGTATGAATTATAATAATATGTAATGATAGTAGAATAGATTTAACAGAATGAAAATAAAATCCATATTCTATATGTATGGATAAGTAATCTTGATTGTCATCTTGAATTATGCATAATCTTATCAATCAATGGATCTTGTTGATAGTTTCTAAGGTCATTTCATTTTTATTGTTTAAACACTCATTCTGTAGTTAACAAAAAATTACGTTATTGATTTTTTCCCCACCCCATACTCTTTCTCTCCTCTTCCTTCTTGTTGCACACTTCCAAATTATCGGATGAATATTTGAAGGATTTTGTCAATCATTTGATTCTACTATGTTTTCCTGAATGTACAGTAAGTTTATCATAGTCTATTTTAGTAAATAATAACATGACTTTATTGTATATTGATCTGGTCGGCGGCCTATGCTCCATTAGGAGTAACAGGCGTAAGTAAGTAAGTAAGTAAGTAAGTAATTGTATATTGATATTCAAATCTGTACAGGTCGATGATAGTTAGGCTTTAACGTAACGTAACTATCGACATTATTCTAATACGAATAAGTTCTATCTTATTTTATTTATTTAAACACATAAACATTGGTACAAGAAGGCACCAAACAAATATGCGCCGCACAAATCATTTGATTTGTATGAGGGCTGAGATACTACCCGAGTGTTCAAACCGAAGGGGACCACATCCCGAGCCTTTGACCTAAGGGCTAATCCACAAGGCAGTGGAACAACTTTAGGAGGTGCATTCCCATGGTAGCCGGTGACCAACAATCGGTCCATACGCCATTTGTTTCCTTAGGATCCTGGATCCCATATGCACCATTGGTTTGGAATCAGGGTTTCCCAACTCCCCTAGGTAAATCCTCTGTGTCTACTAACCCGATTAAAGCGCCGGACATTCGCTTTTCATCCTCTCAATTTCGTAAACAACACCCGTGTTGCAAAAAGGCAGTGAATAGGACTTCCCTGTCAGTGGTTGTATGGACGTGGCCATGTAAGAGCATTTGGAGAGGAAGAGCTGACTCCCCACTTTTGGCCGTACCAGGGCATTTGGGGGTAAAGGTTGTGATCGAGGTGAAATTCAAACACACGCTCTTTCTGACTGGCCGACGGTAGTTAGGCAATAACGTGGCGATCGAGATTATTCTAATACGAATAATTTCTAAATGCAACTCTTTGAAATGGCAACACATGAATGTTAATAATTCATACCACTAATATGAGATGAAAAAAAGGCGGGACTTTTAGGATAACGTATTCTGCAAGGATTTTCAACATTTGTATTTTCTGAACATGTTCATGGACATCAACTTAATCTGGTTTCTAGTCCGCTGAAGTTTACTATTTAACCTTAAGATATGAGGGTAGGAATTTTAGAAGAAGCTTTACTTAAACGGTTCATTCATGTTTGGAGAACAGTGATATCTTTGTGATTATCTATTGTCTTGATATTCTATAAACCTCTGGAGAATATGCTAAAAAAATTTGACAAATTCGTTAAATGTTCATTCAGGATAATGAAAGCATAATCGATTGTTTTCCCGAAGTTTACACAATTGTTGATCGGTAGAAGTATTTCCTTTTTTTAAGGAATTATCGTCAACTCTTAACAGTTAACTTATGAAGACTCTTACAAAGCCGATCTGAATAACGACACTGACAAAATTTCAAAATCCTCTTACTAGAAGTTTGTAGACATTCAAAATTTCTTGCAATCGTCATCTTTGATTTTCTTATCTAAGCTAGTCTTCAAGTGAAGCCTTAATTATGTCACAATGTTTTGTGTTCGGTTCAAGATTCCAGAGTGTTATAGGTGTTTTTTCTGTTGAAAATTTCATTCTTTACAAACATTTGACACCGGGAAATAGCTGTATAACCCCAAATGCCGTGGTATGGCCGAGGGTGGGGACAATAAAATCCCCTCTTGTAATGCTCTCGCATGGTCAGGCGTATACCGGACATTCAATCGCCATAGTGTGAACATGAAATCTGAGATGAAGATACATCCAGCCCATTAGTTCAAAATAGGACAAAACGCGCGTCGTGGATTCCACTGCTAGTCACTATCCATCTTTACTTATAAATATATTAATTTATTCATAATTCATCATTTAGTTACCGTGTAGTTTCATTTTGGCTTTTAATTCTATTTCAAATATACATATATATGTATCTAATAAGCATGAGACTATTCATGTTTAATCCATTTTAGCCTGTTGAATCATTAATAAAACATGATTGTAAACATGTCCCATTACTCGAAGCATATATTCACGACTGGGAGAGATGGTTATCTAAAAAGGTATGCATATTATTATGGTTATTGTCAAAGTGTATATTTTTTTTTTCGTCAGTGAGAGGAGTTATTGTAATATTGCGTTATTGATATTCAAAACGATAATAATTGATCAATTCCTGTTGTTATATGTGCATTCTTAGAAGATTGCTTTAATGATAGCATTTGACCACAAACTTTTTAGTAATATTTGACATGTAGATACAAACACCTTTAAATTCGTTGAAATAATTAATGTTTATCTGAAATTAGTGGCTCAGTTGGTGACATGTTATCTTTTGAAGCAAAGTGTACTGAAAAAGATAAATAATGGCTAGCAGTGGAATCCAGGACGCGCAATTCGTTCTATTTGAGACTCATCAACCGGATGTACCCGCATCTCAGAGTTGATGTTCACTCCGGGACTCGATCCCGGTGCCGTTCGCCTCAAACACCATTGCGTTATCTACTTAGCTACTGAGTCCCGGAGTGAACATCAACTCTGGGATGCAGGTACATCCAGCTGAAGAGTCCCAAATAGGACGAAATGTGCGTCCTAAATTCCACTGCTAGCCACTATCCATCTTTGCTTAAAAAGCTAGTGACTCAAAACTATATCGAGACAATCCGCACAGGATGCACATATGTTAACATGAGACTGATCAATTGTAGTCCTAAATAACAATGGGAAGATACATGTAAAGCAACAGCAAGTGAATTTAAAGTGTACTGATTTCGAGCTTTGGTACGATCACTCATAGTTTGATCTAGGTATATCCAACTGAAGAGTCTCATATAGAGAGGTATATTCTTGATTCTATTACTAATTACATTTTTAAATATTACATAATATTGTATCGATGTTGTCCAGATTGAATTAAGTACAACGTGTTTGATACTCTAATCTATTTCCATTCACTTCAATGTAAGCCAGTCACAGCTTTACGCCTATCCTTTACATTGAGGTTTTAGCCCTTATACAAACAGTATAGTTCGAAGCATTGTATTAATTACATCAAGCTACATTGGTTTTTGGATGGAACGAACAATGATGTAATTTTCTTTTTCATTTTTAGCAATCAACAGTTATACATATTGAGAAGTTATTAAATCAACAAGATGAACTCTATCCATTTATGCAATACATGAAATCAGTTAAATCTATTGAACCTTTAACAATTTTATTGTTAATGTGTAAGTAATTATCAAATTATTGTAACCACTATCCATCTTTGTTTATAAAGCTTGTGACCTAAGGCAATATCTGGGACTCGAACTCCGTACCGTTCGCTTTATTATGCACAGGATGCATATATGCTATTAAGAGATTGATCAATTGAAGTCCTAGACAACAATGCGAAGATACAAGTAAAACAACACCAAGTGAATTTAAAACTTCACCTCATTGCACAAGCAGGTGGCTATCAGGACTCAGTAGCTTAGTGGATAATATGATGGTGTTTGAAGCGAATGGTACTGGGTTCGAGTCTTTGAATGAACATCAATTGTGAGATGCAGGTGCATCCAGTCGACTTCAAGCAGTTGTCCCTTGGGCACTTCGGTCACGCTCTCAGGTCTCTAAGACTACCCCTGAACCAATTTCCCTTTCAGATACTTCTAGAAAAACTCTTTCACAGTGTGGGCAACCAGGAAGTGATAATTGCCCTCATATCTCTAACAGCACTCAAGACCACTGTATTCATAATCAACTTCCCTCCTCAATTTCTATTATTCCTCCTACATCAACTTTCAACTGTAAACTTCCTCTTTTGGCTTCCTCCTCAAATATCACCATAGCCAACGATTCTAGTGCACAAACACTGTCCCAGACTGACTGAAAGCTTGTCGATCGGCATCACTTATGCAACTAATCTTCATAGATTTTGTAGATGAATTAAATTTATTCTAATTTTCTTTATTTGAACTTTTATTTCTATTCAAAATAGATCAAATTAATTCACGTGTCTTAAAATCTATGCCATCATCAGATGCTTGTCATGAAATTAGTGCACAATTACATCATATTTTAAGTATATTAAATGGTCAAATGTTTAATGATAATAACAATGGGGATGATGTTGACATTGATCATTATCATCAGCGTCATGATGATGATGATGATCATCATCATTCTATTTATCAAATATCTAAAATGATTACACATAATCAATCCACTAAAACCTTACCTACAATAAATGTTAGACGTTTACAATTTTTCAATGTATCTAATGAATTTGAAGAATTATTAAAAGTTTGTTTAAAGTATTGTTCACCGGAGACAATTAATCAACTTGTTAATACACCACAATGGAAAGAGTGAGTTTTTAGTTTTTTTTTAAAGTGTTGATTACGTTTTTACGATAGTGGAATGTAGTGAAACATGTTAGTGTTGGCACAACTACACTGGTTTCCAGGTACATACAGTGAATAGGTTTTAAACAGAATGAACTCTAGATACTAGATTCCACTAACGTACTATAGCTAATACCTTGATGTGTTGATCGTGAATAGATATCATAATGATTTAACTGAGCTGTTTTGACTGCTGCACTTGTCTCTTTAGGTCCCCCAAATGCCCTGGTACGGCTGAGAGTGAGGAGAGTCAGCTCTCCCTCTCCAAACGCTCTCACATGGCCACGTGCATACAACCACTGTTGAGGAAGTCGTACTCACTGCCTTCTCGTGGCATTACTGTTGTTTACGAAATTGAGAAGATGAAAAGCGAATGTCCGGCGCTTTAACCGGGTTAGTGGACACGGAGAGTCCACCTAGGGGAGTCGGAAAACCCTGATTCCAAACCAATGATGCACGTAAGCTGTCTCCAGTATCCTGAAGGAACAAATTGCATATGAACCTATTGTTGGTGACTGGCTACCATGGGACTGCATCTCCTAACGTTGCTCCACTGCTTTGTAGGTCAGACTTTTAGGTTAAAGTCTCCGGGTGTGCTCCCCGAAAGAAAATCACATAGTTCGTTTTGGGCACCCGAGCAGTGTCCCAGCCCTCACAGAAATGGAATGATTTATGTGGCGCATATTTGTTTGGTGCCTACATGTACCAATGTTTATGTGTTTAAATAAATAAAAATAGACATCGTACCGTACACAACTAAAAGCTGTACTGCTGACTGCACAGCGGTATAGCGGCAATAATGCATTTTCTCCCCAGATAACCAAAATTTGCATCAATAAGCGTTCTCATAAACATAATAAAGGGATTAGAAAAGGTCAATCTTAATATATTTGTAAAGTGTAATCGAATAAACAAACCCAGTCACCAATCCTAATTTAAACCCTCATTATGTGTACAAAAAGAATTTGTCGTAATCTTGAATGTACTCTAGTAATCCTTGAGTCATTTTATGACCTAGAATAATGAGACACTGTCCGATGAACTTTATTAATTTTCATATAAAAAGTGTGAACAGATTGTTTGAAATGTACAAAGTAAATACATCACCTTTTTTCAGATCAACTCTGTCTTCTCATTGTTCTATCGAAATCATAATCTTTATGTTGATCATAAATGAATCTCGCGGAGCAGGATCGTGGATTCGCACTGCTGAGGTGTCCTATACTAGGATAAAAAGGCCATCCAGTGCTTTCAGGTTTTCCATTATGGTCTAGCTTCAATTGAATTCAATTATTAAATTACCACAGTCTCCACAAAACTCCTCTGATATTAAGTTTGTTGACTTATTTTTCCTGTTCTTTAATTCGGAATGTTATTTATGTCACTCTTTTTCGCCTGTTTAATATGCTGTATTAATTGTCTATTTTGTATACTAACAGTGTTCATTTACGTTTAAGAAAAACAGTTGAAGTTTATCAAGCCAATTAGTTTACTTGTTTTGACTTTGGCTAAGCTAAAACTCTGTGCTCGACAGTCTAGTGAATAGTTTAGAATTGAATCTGTAAAAAATTACTTCCTACATATATCACACCTCACTCTACCTTGTGTATCATTGTCTTAGGTGGTAAAGCCTTTTAAAGTACGGAGCTAACACATCTTAAACTTTGCATAAATAGGTTGTATGTAACGGCCTCATTTTATTTATTTATTTATTTCAACACATAGAAAATGGTACAAAGAGGCACCAAATACATATGCGCTACACAAATCTCATTCGATATGTGTGACGGCTGTGATACTGCCCGGGTGCCCAAACCGGCCTCAAGTAGTTGTCCATTGGTATCTGCGGTTATGTTCCTAGTTCTCTAAGTTCACCATTTATCGAGCTTCTTTTTCAGATTGTGCAAGAATAAATATCCTCTCACAGTGTGGACAACTGGGAAGTAATAACTCCCCCTACATATCCAACAACAGCATGTGAGACCACATCGTTCATAATACAAACCTCGTCTTCATTGGACTTCACTTTCGATCACAGCCTATCTGTTGAATTAACACATATTTGTGTGGTTGAACTAACTCTTCTTCGATCAATGCTTTGATTGTTTTACACTTGTATGGTTTACTCATTTCTGTATTTATCTACACATGTTTCTCTTTTTCTATATTTTTTTTTTGTCTGTAGAACCTATCAGTCAGTTTGTAAGGCAGTTGAACTACGATTTATACCAATGTATTTGGAAAGCCCGGAGTACATAAAATATTCATTTGGTTTTTCACATTTTTCAACTTCAGTATCATCATTAAATAAAATTGGAGTGTAAGTTAATCGCGTTTATTCCTTTTTCAATGTATGTACACTAAGTCTTTGGTTAAAGCCCAGCTCATCCGTCTTGGGTTTAAGCAACTCGGGTGGTATCATTAGCCTCCACACTTGTAGTTTGGACCATACCCAAGTGTCCTGGTGTATGATTTAACAACAATCATTATAGGTTACAAGAGTTGAAACTCTTCTGTTATTTTTTCCATATAATGTCGAAACCAGGAGTTTAGGTATTGTCTAGGCGTAATGTTTTCCACTACAACTAATGTCATTACAAATTCTGCTACTCTGACATTTGTCTTATTGATAAAGTGTAGCGGCAACTTGAAATAATGCGAATATAGTTCAGGTCTTATGTTCTTTATGACTGAATGACTGACTTTTCAAGTACTTTGTGTAACAGTGTTGATTACTATTGGTAGTAATTAAACCCAAACCCTGAACATTAAAAATTGTATCTGTTTATGTGTGTTTATTGGCTGGGACCTCCTATTTTACTTACTTTTCATTGTAATCTCGTGACCAATAGTTGCAGACTCAGGGTGACATGGCTCAGAATCTATCACAATGTCGTAGGTGTATACATTCTCTATCTTCCCTTAAACTACAAGATTAAAATCACTTCATATCTTTCTTTCTATACACTAATTCTTTCTTCCTGTACTATATCCCTACATAAAATCTTTCTTTCATATATTACACCATTGAGTTAACTATTTCTATGAATCCGGTGTTTATCTTCTTGTGCTAATGAGGTATGGCAACTTGGACCGATGCATATTTGTACCTGATCCTACGTTGTAACTGACTGACTGTTTGATTGATACGATTTAATGTGATGTTGTCGATCAGTGACCTATTTATCCACTTACCATATGATTGAAATTTCTGTCATGTTGTCATATTCACCAACAATTTCCAATTGAACAACAAATGATTCATGTAACTTATATCATTACTGTATTTTGTCGTTTAACGAATTCTTATTTTGAAAGATTCTCGAGATGGTGGAGAAGATTTGTAGCTCAGGTGGATGATTTTGGTGGAGTTTTGTTCTCTGGACTGGATGGTTCGGTCAAACCAGCTCAGAGAACAAAGCTCCACCAAAAGAAAGATTCTCTTAATTTTCTTGTAGAGTTTTGTTGAAACACAATGTGAATTGTTATTCAGTCAGATGGTTTGTTTAACTATGTGCTTTTATGTTTAAATTTTAAAGTAATCAATTCATTCTCGTGTTATTCATTGAAGCTCACACATTCTTTGGTAATTCATCGACTACCTTTTTTTTCTCTGCTAGCGCATTGTTAGAACTTAGCATAGAGTAGATAGAATGTGGTTATCAGTGGAATCCAGAACTCATATTTCGTTGTGTTTTGAACTTTTAAGTCCGATTTACCTGCATCGCAGAGTTGATTTGCAATCCAGTACTCAAACCCAATGTGATGTTCGCTACTTGTGCCTTCGAATATAAGTAGTATGAAGTGAAATGCCTGCCAGCAGAAGATTTATTTGAAGAGAATATGAAAGAAAACAGAGAAACTGTGATAACGACGGGATTGAAGGATCATGTGATATTGAAGAAAGACATGCAAATAATATATTTAATGTATGATTTTCATATTTTGCGAAGGCACTGCGTAATTTTGCATGAAACAATAAATTGGCTTTTCCAACCTGAGTTCTCGTTTAAAACACCAGTACCGCTCACTTCACACGCTATCGTGTTGTCCATTTGGCTACTGAATCTAAATTGGCACTCACTTTTGCAACAGGTATAAGATATAATTCATTCTCTGTATGAACACCAACTTTGGGATGCAGGTAAATCCAGCTGATGAGTGCCAAATAGAACAAATTGTACATCTTGGATTCCATTACTAGCCACATTCCATCCATTCTATATCAACTTGTGGTAAATGGCTATATAGAGGGAATCCACACATGATCCATATTCACCAACCAAGTTTTTATCGAATTTCACTCAAAAATATCAACAACGGGATAATCTGAACTTTTTCAATTTGAATCAGAGCGAGAAATTGTTTCAGTGTATGCGTACCCTCCTGTTGCTTTGTACAATCTTTACTATTGCAGTGTTTTACATTTCTTGAGACATTTGAAATTTATCCATTGACTGTTTTTAGTTTTGTTTTCTCGGGTGATATCTACCTTGAGAGATGAAATGAAGCCGGGTATGTATTAAAAACAGTTAAATACTGTGAGTTAAATACCGTGAGCTTGTGACTCCTCAGTAATGCACACATCACAACCTTACATGCTATTGGATATCAAAAATGAAACTACAGGGAATATGTTCAATTGGATGCTAATGATTTTCAAGATAGTTTTGTGTAGAAGACTGGCGTTTTTTATATTTTGGCTTAATAGTCAAAGTCTTAGTTTCCATTATGATAGACTGTTATTGTGTTAATAAAAATTGACCTCAAACTATATGATTCATTGACCCGATCTTCATCGGTTAATCAATTCAGTTTATGTGGATAGATTTATTGATTTCAGATTGACCTGAAAGGCACTCTTTAATAACTGACTAACCAGTTTGTTGAAAGTTCCCTCGATCTAGACTTACAATTAACTCATATTCATATCCGTAATAATGTACGGGCATTATTATAATGTTCACATATGTTGTTCCGCGAGGTGATCTGACTCTTCACCCTCTGTCGTACAAGGGCATTCGGGGGCGAATTAAAGAGTAGACGTTTGCGACTAACACTAGGATCTAGAACGCTTATCTCGTCCTATTCGGAATTCGTCAGCCGGATGTACCTGCATTTTAATGTTATTGGTGCTCAGATTATTACTCGAACCCATTGTTCTTCACTTAAAACACAAAATTGAAAGATATAGCATGCCTAACGAACATTAGAAAAAACATAAATAATCTCAGCCGGATTACGCCGTTGTTGATATTTAGGACTGACTTCTGATCAGTCTTCGTTAACCTATGTGGATGCTCTACAGTTTTTCTTGTTATGATCATTTTGTTACGATTCCCATCTAAATCAATGAATCATTGTTAGCATTAGAATTCTGGACATTTTTGTCCTATTCGGAGCTCGTCAGCTAGATATATTTGCATCTCAGTTCTAATGTTCATAGTCAGTCAGTCAGTCAGCTACAACGTGGGATCAAGCACATATGCATCGGTCCAACTTGCCGTACCTCATTAACACAACAAGATAAACACCGGATTCATAAAAGTAGTTCATTCAATAGTGGTAATATATAAAAGAAAGATTACATTTAAGGATATAGTACTGGAAGAAAGATTTAGTACGTAGAAAGATATGAAGCGATTTTAATCTCATAGTTCAAGGAGGAACAGAGAGTGCATACACCGACGCCATTGTGATCGATTCTGAGCCATGTCACTCATAGTCTCCTACTATTCGTTACGATAGTAACGCGGACTCCAACTAAGTAGTCTCCATCTATCAACATGGCTCAGACCAGGAGTTATTGACTTTGTGGAGTGATGCCACGTTTTGGTTTGGCCACCTCTAACTTCGTTCCAACCATCCCCAACACTAGTCAGCATTGCACGTCGTGGTAATGGGTGTTGAGGCATACGCAACAGGTGGCCCAACCATCTCAATCGATGAAGATTCACAAGTTCATCAACTGATTTCCCATCATCATTCCCCAATACCCTGTGTCTAGCTTCACTATTACTTACTCGGTGATCCCAGGAGATGCGAGCAATATTTCTAAGGCATCTGTGATCAAATACTTGTAGCTTATGAATATCTTCTGTTCTTAAAGGCCACGTTTTGCAGCCGTAAAGTAAAACAGAACGATTTATCATAGCAAAAGTGTAGGAAAATAAATGAGAAACGACCTTGTTTAAGAATTGGTTTTATTTCGTCTGTTCCCGTTTTTTTTTTAATTAATATAAAGCAGGTCTCCAAAACGCGATATTCGACGTTTATCACAAAATGTAGGAACAAGTCAACAACAAACTGGTCTATTTGGAAATGCTTTAATGAATGTATTTAGTAGTCAATACAGTAAGTGAACCATATTTCTTATGAGAAAATATTTGATTAACAAATATTACTGTATCCATTTAAAAAATCAGATGAATTCGAGTGTTTCAGTGATGTGCACGATTTATTGACAGTTTACTTAAACTAACTTGCACAGTAAAAAATACCTCATGTTGGAAGAACAGATGGAGAAAGAAACCAAGACTAGTATCCGTGGTCTCATTGACCAAGTAACATGATCGTGGATCTCAGGCGCAATATTTTGTACTAGTAAGTTTCACGTTCTAATGGCTTTTAATCTGTTCGTCTAGTAACAAACAATCTCAACTATTCTCAATATGTTGTTGTGGAGATTTGTTGAATTTCATTTAAATCATGAACCAATTTAATTTGAACTACCATTAAAAACGTGAATGAACTAGACACCGGTTTCGTCCTAGTATAGGAACCGATCACGCGTTAATCAGATTCGTGACAATGGATCTATTTGAACCTTGACTAATCCTTAAATGAATAGTGACTAGTGTCATGTACATCAAGTCTTTCCTAATGCTGATGGAATTCTATCAATCAAATTCTAATATTACAAGTACACGTTGCTGACGATCAACAAATAACACGAAATCTGAATCTTATAATGTTGTCTATCGACTATCTCGAGATTACCACTATACATTTTGACACAGTGCAGACGATCTCGAGTCGTTTAGACTAGTATTGGTCACATTTCAACTTGATCGATAGAATTTAATCAACGATATGAAGTACTTCATATACATGAGATTGGTCACTACTCAGTAATTAGACAGTTATAAAGTGAAAAAAAAATTGCGAATAAATACCTTTACCTATTCTTGTTTTCACTATAAAGCTTGTATTTAATCAACATAAGAAAGATCTGTTTTGGTAATCTTTGGTTTAGAAGAAAGTATGTTATGTCTGATAGTGTTTACTATTTTGAATTGTGTGCTTATATATGTGTATGTAACCTTGGATTAATGCACTTTTTTATGTATGTTTGTGTGTGTATGTTTGGAACTTTTTTTAATTATTTACGAAAAAGGTAAGAAACAATGTAGTTTAACTTACAAATCAATTATTTGTTATAAATATAGTATGTTACTATTCAAGTACGTATGGAGTGTGATTCATAGAGAGAGAGAGAGAGAGCGATTCGTAACAACTGGTAAGATAGATGATTTGTTAATGCATGGAGTTTGTTAAATGTTTGTAACTTTGCATCACGGATGTAGTTCAGTTAGGTGATCACTGACAACTAGGAAGGATTGAATGGTTGTTTCATCCTAGCATGAGGTTCTTCAGCAACGCTCACCCATAATCTATCCGATGGATGGAAGCCTGGACCTTCAGGTGGCACGGTGAGCAATTAGCCTTTGAAGTGTTAACATTTCTAACATTACACAATTAGTTCACAATATTCCAAAACTATCTTCTATTGTCTGTGATGAATGATTGTCTTATACTCAACATAGTTGAACTTGATTAGCCACGGCTTCTCTTATAGAACTTCAGAAATCCGATGTTGGAGGAAATGATTAATATGAATATAAGAGTGCTTGTTGAGATTGTAGAATTTTAGTCGTTTAAGTCATCAATCTTATCAAGATGAATATATATATAAAACCGGGAAACAATAAATAGCTGTTTCTTTTTGTTATGGGACTCAGAAGTTTGTATCCGTATTCCCCATTAGGTATAATAACCAACACGTTTGATTTCACTCTCAAACGCTTAACTTTTAAACCAATGTCCTGTTTTCAACTAGGTAACCTCGTTAACTTCACATTGTAATTTAAACTATGAAAAGTCTACAATTCCTCAAAACCTTTCTATTCTCTAGTCAACTAGTTATATTGCTCAACCAGCATCCATTACAGTCGGCGTTATATGTCTTGCTCCCGATATGATTGAACTCGGGTGGTTAACATTTCTCACTACAACTATGAAAATTATGAATATTGCGCATATCATATTTAAGTGGAGTTTTTTTCACTAAGCGCGAATGACTATGACTCCAGTATTCTATCATCCTTTCTATATCTTTCTTTGTATATATCGTTGCTGCGCCTACTACTTAGAAACCTCTTATCTAATTTCAAACTAGGCTACACATCAGATTTTGCAACCCCCCAAAAAAACACAGTTTTACGTTGATCTTAGAGACTCCGTGTGCTTTTACCTGTTATCTTTGGACGTCCTAAATTATTATTTCAGTATTGGTTGCACTGATTCAAAGCGGCAACTTTGTTAGCGTATGCTGACACAACTGACAGGCAAGAGGGTCCGTAATTCGAGAGCCACTAGCAGATGAGGACGAATTTAAAGTATAAATTTCGCACCACAGACCGTTCATAGGCCCTCTCCGTGACAAATTATAAAGAGACAAGGAATGGAGGACGCACAATGTGAAGAAAGAATAGATTTATGATCATACCGAAAAAACAGGACAACATTTGACTATGAGAGCAGAAACGAGGCGATGTATATCAATGATGTCTGTGATAGAAGAGCACTTGATTTATGTCAAGTACATCAACAAGAGAAGTGCAATCTCTAAACTGACATGATGATTGAATATTGCACATATAACAAGTGAGGAACATGGAATAAATAGACGAGAACGTGGACGAAAGTAGCCACAAATGAAGTATGTGAAACGGATGAAGGAATAATAATCTTATTGTAAAAGCGTCAATAACAGTAGTCGAAAAATACAACAATGCAGTGTAATACAAAAGACCTTGATAATATAACATACCACGAAATACAAAATAGCTTGAGAAATTTCTGTCATTATAGGTTACAAAAGGTAGAGGTGAGACCACGTAAACGATGGTAAATGAATGACAGAATACTGAAATAATAATTTAGGATGTCCAAAGATAACAGGTAAAGGCACATGGAGTAGTATCTAAGATCAACGAGAAACTGTACATTTTGGGTTACAAAATCTGGGTGTAGCCTAGTTATAGGCATGTGATGAGTAAGATAATGAAGGCGCACATATACTCTTACTTAAAGCTTCCAAGATTGATATAATGATAATTAACAAGGTGAAAATGCTACTACTGAAGAAGAATGTATGAATTGGTCCGTCGAAAAGTTAGAATAAGTTATATTGGCGTCCCATGGCACTCAACACTACATTTCACTCAGTATATTGAATTATTCACTGGATATTTGAAATTTATATATGAATTGTATTCTGTTAAAGTACATCTATATCAAAATATGTTTTATATCGGGTTTTTTTTCCAGCTGATGGACAATTTTTCGGAAATCTGGACTCATCCAAACTCTCAGTTTCATCAATGCGTCGTAATCAAAAAGATCGGTTTGGTAATATTCTCAATGACCAAACTAATCGATCTAATCGATATTATACTAATACTGGCACTACTACTACTACTACTGTCAGCGAAGAATTACTTACAAATCAACATGTCATCGGTATAAAACATTTACCGGAAACAACACAACAATTAGATTTATCTCAATGCAATGTATATATACGTGGTTTATCACGTCCTGAAGTTGTAACTCAATCGAATAATCGTCATCCATTAGGTTTAATTACTACATCCACCATTAACCCACTTGTATTATCATCAACAACAACACTTGGGATAACGAATTTACATTCTAATCAAACTAATCACTTACCAGCATCAATGAATATGAATATTTTATCGAATAATATTAATAATAATACTATGACAACTCCAATTTCATCATCTACAACGCTGTACGTGATATAAGCTATCGAAATAAAATATCAAATGAATTAAATAATTTAATTAATCCATCTATATATAATAATTCATTTGTTTCATCATCATTACCACAACTTTCAACACAGTTTATGTTCAATGTTATTACTGAAATTGTTATCAATGGAGTACGTAGACAAGTGGCTAAAGTAACAAGGTGAGTAAATTTTATACGTTGGATTGTTGTTGTTGTTGTTTTTGTTATGTCTTGATAAAACGAAAACATTTTCCTATTGAAGTTTCTGTTGGGACGGCTGTCGAGAACTACGACAGAGCCTCCAGAGGCCTTAGAAGAGTCACAGAGTTTCATCCAATCAGAACGTAACGGAGCTTTCTAGAATATCAACATGGCATGCTACTATTGGTCAGTAGTGTGACATACCACTTTGCGGATTGGTTGAATTATAATGTTGATTTAAACAACGCTAATATCTATAGATACCCATGATTTTCTGTACATTTTGATTCTTACTCATCAGGCACTTCTCCAGTCTTCTTCTGTCTTCTCATTTGCGGCTTGGGAGGGTTCTAGCGCTAACAGTTACTAGTTGATAGCCTACAACACTTATGTATTAAGGGGATAATTGAACTACTCTAATACGAACAGTCCTATTTCGAACTGGATAACGAAAGCTGACACACATTATTTCACAATAATAAACCACAAACTATAGAAGACCAATTATAAGTCAACATTTTATTCACTTGGTATTGTTTATTTGAGTCTTCTCATTGTTATTTAGAACTATAATTGATCAGTCTCTTATTGCCATATGTGCGTTATTGCCTTGATATAGCCTTAATTCACGAGGATTATATACAAAGATGGATAGTTTCTAGTAGTGGAATCCAGGACGTGCGTTTCGTCCTACTTAATATTCTTCATCCGGATGTATCTGCATCTCCGAGTCGATGTTGACTTGGGGACCCGAACTCAGTACCGTTCGCTTCAAATGCCATCGCGTTATCCATATAGCTACTGAGTCCTGATAGCCACTTGCTTGCGCAATGAGGTAATCAATGGGAAGATTCAAGTAAACAATACCAAGTGAATTTAAACTTCACTCCATCTTTGCATAAAAATTTGATATTCAAACCTAAACAATTTGATAAAATCCAACTCAGCTTATGTAGTAAAAAATACGTAATATTCAAGTACCTGCAGTTTTTTGATGATGATTGTATTGGTTCTCCAAATTTTAGCCTCATATAACAAAACTGTTTTAACGTTCATATTGAAAATTTTGTCCTTGATGTTGACTGGCTGTCGTATTGAGTTCCAGATTCTCTTCAATTTTAGGAATACTGGTCTTGCTTTGTCAATCCGTTCCTTCATATCTGTTTCAGATCTACCTTGTTTATTGATGATAATGCCCAGGTACACCCGGATCCCTTCTAGGATTACTGTCAGTCCGAAGCTCGGATAAATGAAGTAGGTTGGACATGAAGTTAACAAAACGATCTCGTGGAAAAAATCCTTGCTAAAAAAACACTAACCGGAAACATCACTTAAACCATTTGAACTCTGCACTGAGTTGAAGGATCCTCATTAATAATAATTATGACTCCTCATGATGAATGCCGAGATTCTTCGGAATTCACGAGGTTAATACCCCCATTCTAACAACCAGAGTTAAAATTAACATAGGTAAATGAAATAACCTGATATAATACTTGTGAAATAACTAAGTATCTCATTTCTAAATGAAGCGAATAATAGGATGTTATTCAGGATAAATAATGAATGCTTCACAATTAAATCATTTTAACTCATAGTACTCATCACCATTAAATACATCTATTTGAGCTGAAAATTTTCTCCCAACTTTTTACAGGTAATATTTAATTGGCTTCATTGACGACTTGATTTGAAGAATAAGTAAAATTATACTATTTAAATCATGAACTGATCAATGTCGGACCATCATTGAGAAACTGGAGGCACTAAACAGTCGTTTCATTCGAGTATGGAACTCTTCATCGGTGTCCATACACGATCCCTCACACGGGACTCGAATCAAGGACCTTCAGTCTCACACAAACACTTAACATTCAAACCACTAAGTCGGCATCCAATCGTGTTAATGTATAAGTTCAACCAATCCACGATATTGTGTGACCATTTTCCATTGTCTTTGGTTGGTAACTGCTTCAAATTCCACACGGTTGAACTCTACTGGTGATTAAGCGTTGTCACGAGACTGAAGGTCGCAGAATCGTTGGTGTCTACTACTGAGAAGTCCGATACTAGGAAGAAACGGTCGTTCAGGATTTCAAGGTGGTTTAACGTTGAGCAGTTCATGATCGCGATCAAAACTCAAAAACCCCTATACTGATAAATTATATTTACTCAATAAAATTGATAAATTTTATTAAGTATCATAGATTAAATTAATATATAGTCATAGTGTTTATAACAATTAAGCGTTTTCCTCTATACCCGATGGGAATATTACTCATTACATAATGAAAGTTTCTGTGATTAAACTACACAGTTTAAACAATTTAACTCCTTCCATAGTTTAGAGGTATTATGTTAATTGTAGGATGAAATGTCAACATTTTGTTCGATTTTATATACATAAGTATGATGAAGTATGTACTGTTCATTTGTTTATCTGATTTTTCAAAGTTCATGATAAAATCAAGCTTCCTCTTTCTCTATGTGGAGACTCTAGATAAAATGGCTCAGAATTGATCATAATGGCGTAGGTGTATACGCTCTTTGCTTTCCCTTAAACCGCGAGATTAAAATTACTTTATACATTTCTAATTCTTTCTTCCTGTACTATATCCTTATACACTATCTTTCTTTTGTATATTACCACCATTGAAGTAACTACTTTTATAAATTTGGTGTTCATCTTATTGTGCTAACGTGGTGTAGCAACTCGAATCGATGCATGCTTATGTGTGCTTGATCTTACGTTGTAGCTCACTGACTGACTTTCTCCATGTGTATATATCCTAAGTTACTGATCTATTTGAATCACTAATGCAACGAGTTGCTTTCAACCGTTTTGTTTTGTTTTCTATCTTTCACTTAAATTTCTTGGTTGAGATCATGAACTGATTGATGTTAAACCATCATTGAAAACTTGGAAGCACTGGACGGTCGTTTCGTCCTATTGTGGGATTCCTCAGCACGTGCTCGCTAATGACTAGCTTTGTGAGGAAATTCTCGGAGTTCTTGTGAGAAGCCGTGACCAGTGGAGCTAATCCGTGTCGAGCAGAGACCGGTATCTACTTCAGTAAAATGAAAGATGGTTGCGTAATTTCGTGGATTGGTTGAAGTTAGACATTAACACCATTGGATGTCGGCTTAGTGGTCTAGAGGTTAAGGGTTCGTGCACGAAACTGAAGGCTCTAGGTTCGAATCCCGTGAGGCGGGATCGTGGATACGCACTGTTAGGGAGTCCCACAATAAGGCGAAACGGCTGTTCAGTGCTTCCAGATTTTTAATGGTGGTCTAACATCAACCAGTTCATGATCTCAATCAAAAACTTAATAATTTCACTTAAATCTCTACGTGATTTTTATCCTTTTTTTAATTTTTTTTTTCTTTAGAAAATATTCTGAATTCTATGTACTTGAACAGAAATTAATTGAATTTCATGGTACATTAATAAACAAACAATTACCAAAACGTCAATTAACCCCACGTACAATGGAATTTCTTGAAAGTAAATGTGATATATTTCAAAGTTATTTACAGGTAACTAGTTAAATCTTGTTGTTGTTTGTCTGTTTCAATCTATCAGTCATACAGCACATAGAATTTGATACATATATACATTGATTCAACTTATCATACTTACGTAGTGTAGTGTAGGAGTAAAGAAGAGAATAGATGAACTATCGAAAGAAGAATAAATGATATAAGAAGATTTTAGGACTTTAACGATAGTCACACAAATCTCAACCAAGTGATCTACACCTTTTAATATGTCTCATTCCTATTGTTAATGACTTCATGAACTGGTATTATGTTTTCGTTTATCTGTTCCGTAGCTTTCTGTCAGTCTATTCCTATACCAGACAACATTGTCCATCGAGGTAGTCGGTGATTTTCCATACGTAATGCTGTATGTCTCAATCACTTTGGTTGATGAAGACTCACCGTCTCATCAATCGACTTGCCATATTTATCTAGTACCGTATTCTCAACCATAGCATTGCTTATTCGTTGGTCTCAAAATTCACGAATGATACGTTGAAGACGCCTATTTACGAATACTAGCAACCTATGGATATCCTCTATTTTTGAAAAAAAGTTCCATACTGGTAAAGTAGTATGGAGAAAACTGCTGCTTAATATACTCCTCCTGTAGATCGAGAGGAGATTATCTCGCATAGACTACGAGTGACGCAAGTTGACAAAGGCCATACGAGCTCTTATCTGTTGCGATATTTTTTTCAGAAATAAAGCCACAAGAGCTGATGAGATTTTCAAGATGAGTGAATTGAGTGACGCGCTTAATTGTTTCACTCCGTATTAATAATTCAGGTACTTATCGTGTGCAGTCTTGAAGCAACGTCTCACATTTATGATTCAATCACTCACGTCACCATTATCATTTATGCAGCAACTTAATACACAAACAGGTTGATCACTTTTCTTGGTGTGAAAATATTGTAATTTCTTGGGGTTATTATATCCAAAATTGTTGCGGTCTTTAAATGATGTATCACATGATAGGTTGCAGTGGCCTAGATACACTCACTCTTTATCTTCACATTTAACAAATGAAATTAAAACACATGATTCAGGAAATGAAATCTTACTTTAGACATGTTTATGATACATTTCTTATTTGTAACAACCCAAATAATACTACGTTTTCGATCTTGAGAGTGACAAGATATATCTTTCTGAAGATAACATGAAGTGAAGTTTATCTAGACTTCAACAGCTTCCTCCTATCAAGTTAGCAAAACGGCATTGTGTGAAACTTTCTTAACGGTCCTCGTAAGATAATAGTTATTAGGAAATGTTCGCAGAAGTACACATACCTACAGAAATTCGTCGATTAATATGCTAAAACGAACTACCGTGTTAATTATGATCATATGCAGTTAGATTGACAGATGGACACATTTTTATAATAAAACCTGGCACGGATTTACGTTGGCTAAAGTTACCATGTGTCTGATTAGCACGACACGATGGAAATTTAACGAAGTTATGGGAATAATATAGTTACTTACTTACGCCTATTAGTCCTCGTGAAGGAGTATAGGCCACCCATCAGTGCTCTCCATCCAACCCTGTCCTGACAATCCTTCCCAGCTCTTCCTAGTTGTTATTCATCCTTTTCATATCTGCTTCTATTTCCGACGTAATGTGTTCTTTGGCCTTCCTCTTTTCCACTTCCCTTCAGGATTCCAAACTAGCGCCTATCTCATGATGCAGTTTGATGATTTGCGTAATGTGTGTCCTATCAATTTCCATCGTCTTTTCTTGATAACCTTGAATTGTTGTGGTGTGCAACTGATCTATAATCTATTCCAGTTCCTTTTTTTCGTTTTAACCTATCAGATGGATCCTCTTTAGTTTATAAATAAAGATTGAATTTTCAGCGTAAACCTTCAATCAAACTGATCATCAACAGATACGATAACTATCTATTAGAATGAACTGTTCATTTAATAGACTAACATACTTACTTACACCTGTTACCCCGCATGGAGGAGCATAAACCACCGACCAGCATTCTACATTCAACTCTGTACTGGATAATCCTTTCCAGTTACTATTCATCCTTTTGATGTCTGCTTCCAAATCTCCGACATAGTATGTTCCTCAACATTCCTCTTCTCCGTTTCCCTTCCGAATTCCAAGTTAAAGCTTTCGTCCTGATGCAATTTGATGATCTCTGCAATTTATGTCCCATCTCCTCAACTCCTAGGGCAGAGTTTAAATGGCTTAAATTATTTGTTCTAGTTAGCGCTTGTTTGGAAAGGTTTTTTTATGAGTGTGGTTGTTGACACCATGCTCAACCCCCCTCCTGTATTTGGGGCTTGGGACTGAGCTACAAACGGAGTTCACATACTAACATTGTTACATATAAAATAAAAATACCTATAAAATAAACTTAATTCAATGTTGTAGAGGTAATTGAAAAAGATCAAATTCGTTGGTCATTCGTGCAGCTTCTAATTAAGGCTTCATTCATCATCATCGTCATCCGATTTATTGCCTGCTTATTATGAGCATTTACATTTGACTACTATTTGAGTTGTAAATGTTCTAATTAATTACGACAGATTCATAAATATTTCCAATGAAGTGTTAAGAGGAGAAGAGCTTATGTGAAGGAAAAAAGAAATGGAATAGAATCTTGAATCACACATATGTATATATGCGTGTATAACCTTAGAGGATAATTCGTTCTTTTGTTTTGACATTTATCTGTATTTATTTATGGATTGTTTACTCCCTTCCCTCTTTCTCTCTCTCTCTCTCTCTCCATTCCTTTTCCTTCCCCTACTCATTGTTCTATTCGGTCATTTCTTCTTTATTTAAGATATAAAATTGTCCTTGTCCTTTTTCAATTTAATAAATATTTATTATTTATTGACATGATAATAATAATTTTTTTGTGGATTTCGAAGTGTTCTCTGTAATTGAGATTATTTATTCTTGGGTATTTCAAATTTTCTCTTACCCCCCCTCCACAAAAATGCCTCGGTACAGCTACGGGTGGGGTTTTTTCATTCAACAAGTTAGGTGCGCTATAGCGATGTGTTCATAGAAGACATCTAAATAGCTATAAATAATCAAACAAAGTCTTAAATGGTATTCTATGCTCTTATACGTATGTGGCACTGATCTAAATGCCCTTGTACAGCCTAGAGTGGGGAGAGTCAGCTCTCCCTCTCCAAATGCTCTCACATGATCACGTGCATACAACCACGGACAGGAAAGTCCTATGCACAGCATTCTCGTACCAGGAGTGTTGTTGCGGAATTAAGCGAATGTAAAGTGAATGTCCGGTGCTTTAACTGGGTTGGTGGATAATGAAGATCCACCTAGGTGAGTTGGAAAACCCTCATGGCAAACCAATAGTGCACATGGATTCAGGATCCTAAGGAAACAAATGGCGTATGAACGAATCGTTGTGACCGGCTACCATGGAACTGTATCTTCTTACGTTGCTTCATTGCCTTATGGATCAAACCTCTAGATGAAAGGTTCAGCGAGTGGCTCCCTAAAGAAATCATGTGGTTCGGTCTGGGCACCGTGGTAGTATCACAACCCACAGACAAATCAAGTGACTAATGTGATGCTTCTGTATTCGATGCTCGTTTGTACCAATACTTATGTGTTCAAATAAATAAATAATAATATTACCCCATGCCTAACCAATCTCTTAATGCATCGTATTAATTTGTTTGAAAAACTATGAAATTTGAATAGTTTTGTTATTATTACTAATAAGTATTGTTAAAAATAACTCTTGAAACCTAAATCTGACTAATAATAGTCAAGAGGTATTTCTACTGAATTTAGGTTTTATGTTAATTAAAACTGGTCAACAAGCCTTCAATTTAATGTCGAATGAAGTGATGCTTTGTGTAAATGTGTGTGTGTGTTATTCGAACTTGTATCAACCATGATCATACAGTGTTGAGATGTTATCTCTGAGGTATTCAGGTTATGTAGGATACATATGTACATTTGATGATTGGTCAGTGAATACTCAGGTTAATATCAATTGGTGAACGAAATAATCTTCAAACTATGCCACTTCGAATTTCAGCGATCTAAACATTTCTATCTGATGTTAGCCATAAACAGTGAAACTCTCATTTTTCTTTCTATTCTTGGCTATTACAGTGTTATATAAAGCTAATATTCACTCTAAAAGATTCGCATCGAATTTCCTCCTTTAATTTCAATCATCCTGTTCGTAAATATTTCTGTTTGAAAATGGATTCTGTAAATAACTATCCAACTAGATGCTGTATAATAGTGTGCTAGACGCTCCTCACAAGATTGCTTGTAAATAGTATGTAGCGGAACGTGGCCAGAATCTGTCACAGTCATCAGATGGGAGGAATAGTTTCAGTAGACTAAAAGCACGGCGTAGGCAGAACACTTAAAGATCATATGAGAAGACAGTTCAGATTGTTGAACACACTGCACAACGGCAGACCGAAGACAATGTATAAGTATTGTGTAAACACCTTTTAATCTCTCACACAAAACATTCAACCTTTCTGCCCATTGTATTGTTGTACATTAGTTATTCAATAATTTATTAATGTCATTCACCTAAAATTATCTAGTCCCGCAGTTGATTCTTATTTTAAAATTGCTTGTATATAGGTTCGAACCCCGCATTAATTAATTAAACTTTTCTCATAGTACAATATCTAATTGTTTTTTTTCTTTTATCTATATCGTATCTTTAGTATTTGATTGCTCAACCATTCCTTCGTAATAGTAAATTATTATACAGCTTTCTAACATCAAATGAACCATTCAATACAATATATTTGAATTGAATTTAGGACGTTTAGTGAAATCGGTTCCGTTAAAATTAACCAAAGAGGTAAGTTGAACGGAGTGTTATTCTGTTTTATTATATATATATATATATCAACAAGTGATTTTAATTTCTATAAAATGGATCGTTCCATTCCAGAAGCTTCGATTAAGTTCCACTGACAGGTGGACTGAAGCATGTCGGTAGGTCTACACCTACTATCTGGTTGGGATCCGCCAGACTATAGCAACCGATGGTTAGAGACCTTGAATGACGCGGCTCAAAATCGTTTGCAATGGAATAACACAGGTGCATCCAAATTCTAATCTTCTGAATTCTTCATGTCCTCTTTTTTTCTCTTCCCAAATTTATTTTGCTGGACTATACACCTTGAATAACATCTTCAAACCCTAATCTTTCCGATTACTGCTTATACTTTTACTACCTGTACCACTATGGGATTTAAATCGACAATTGTATCTCTGTGCTAATGTGGTATGGCAACTCGAACTGATGTACGTACGTACATACGTACGAAGTTCTACGTTGTTACTGACTGACTGAGAAACTTCGATAATGATTCTAGACATTGTCAGTGTCCATTTAAGGTAAAATAATACTTTTTAAAATGACTCAACATGACTCAAATCATTTTGTTTTAAGGACTTTTCTGTACTGCTAGTCCGAGGTTCACTAACCAAAATCGTCTATGAAATCTAATAATGTGCATACAAAACCGGGTATGATAACAATTCACATTCGATTTCTAGATTTCCATAGTCTTTGACATTTGGGCCGTAAAATCTAATCCATAGAGAGGTATCTATGACTATAATGTTTACTTCCAACTGTAGTTTATTCTCATGAGTCAGGAAATATGTAGGTTAACCATGACGTTGAAGCTCTAGATTCTTGTATAAAAGAAACTAATACTCATAATAATATGGCTAGTTGACCAATCAATAATAAAACCATATTTTAGTGACCGTCCTAAGCGGTTTATCCCTCAACTAGAAAATGGCCTCTCATTACAAAAGAAAACTGATAATCATAAGTAATGAAATCTTGATGAGTAAATAATTCCAGCAAGATGACTAAGCGAAGAATGGTCAAGGTTTAGGATAGTTAGTCTCGGAGTTAGAGTCAGTAATTGTGGTGAGGATTGTATTTGGTTACTTCACACTCTTCAGGAAAGTGTGCCTGCGATTCTAAGAGATCTGATGTTTTCTGGCTCTTTCTATAAACACTAAGAATTCTTTAATTGACATCGATCACTGCTCAGCGATCAATCAGTTCTAAAGGGTTAAGATTATTAATATTAGGGGTTGCTTTTAGGAATGTTAGAGTTATGTGTGTTAATTTTAAGAGAAAAAAATTTTTCTGTTACAAAGACGTACTGCATTATGCTCTGAATCAAATCATACACACTCAAATGTAATTTGCTCATAATTCTAGTCATTTAATCTATTAATTATGTCTAATTCACTGTATAGTTGCACAAAAGTTATTTCTAACCTACACAAGTTAGTATAGCATAGATGGTATGTAGCTAACAGTGGAGTTCAGGACGCGCATTTCATTCTATACGAGACTTGTCAACTGGATAAATTTCTATCCCAGAGATGTCGTTAACTGATCGGTTATATCGAGACAATGCAGATATAATTCACATATATCAAACAAGACTGATTAATATTTAATTAAAGTATCAATAACGAGTTAATTAAATTCATTTCCAATTGAATGTTAATTATAGACACGCCTTTATTTGGGTTTTCAATAACAGACATACTATCCGTCATTACTTTTTTGAATGTTAAACAAAATATTACAAGTGTTACTTCATTTCGGATTGATTACATGAAGTTTGTCGTTATGATTTTACTTTTATTGACTGAATTTTAAAAGATCTCGCAAAAACATACAATTCGCTAAGAGTAAAATGTCATATTGTTGTGAATGAACACTCAGGTGGAGACAATCAGTTCATTGTTTAACACAAAATTACAGAGTTCTTTCGTTATTTATTTATTTGAACACATAAATATTAGTACAAAAGGGCACCGAATACATATGTGCCACACAAGCCACTTGGTTTGTGTGTGTGTGTGGGCTATGATACTGCCCGGATGCGCAGATCGAACCACGTAGTTTTTTTTAGTGGACTACACTCGGAGCCTTCGATCTAAAGGTCTAATCCACAAGGCAGCGGAGCAATGTCAGGAGATGCAGTTCCATAGAAGCCGATGACCAATAACAGGTTCATATGCTATTTATTTCCTTAGGATCCTGAAGTCCATGTGCACCATTGGTTCGGAATGAGGCTTTTCCATCTCTGTCTCTCCCCACCCAAACAAACATTAAATACTTCATTTGTAATTCCTCCATCAATTGTCTCAATTTTTATCGTCCCTTTATTGCTATTACAATTACTTTCTCTGTTTCCGTTCTCTTCTATTCCATCTGCTGCTAGGCGTTCTACTTCCGACTGATGTTATATACTACTTATATCTGTTAATATAAGTAGTATACACCGCAGTATGTTCTAAATTTTCAAGGAATTTTCTTAAAAAGTTATGCATAACTTCTAGCATGTTTTTGTATTTCTTTTTGCCTTTGATGGTTCAACCAATTCAGTTAGGTATGCACCAACTTTCAGTTTATTTGCTTTTTTTTTCATCCAACAAATTTGAATCCACTACAGACATAAACACATAAATTCTAGAAAAACCAAAGCAAATTCCTCGGTGAATATCATGCACTTATTTACAGTGTTGACTAATTAAATGACTAAGAATGCTCTAAATTACTAGTGTTATGTTCTTGATCTGTCTACCTACTAGCATACAGAAAATAATTTATCTTATGTCTCCTGACACGAGAGGTTAACTGGCTTAACCTTGAGGCAAGGCTGCGTGAGTCCGAATTGAAACTAGCTGCCTTAAGTAGAGAGATAAAAACTATTCTATCACCTAATTGGTTGCCAAGCTACCGTACTATATCCTTATATGCAATCTTTACTTTATATATGATCACAATTTAATTAACTACTATGAATCCAGCGTTCATCTTGCTGTGCTGAGGTATGCCAACTTGGACCACTGCATATATATGCCTGATACTAAGTTGTAGCTGACTGACTGACAGGCCAGAGAGAGAGAGAAAAGACGAGTCAACTGGAACACTACTAGATTTACTCCAGATTCGTGTGTAAGTAGATGATCAACATGACCACAACTCACAAACAATTAGAAAAGTACAATTGCATACAGACTAAGCATCAGGTTAAAAAAAACCGAGTACAAAAGGTTACATTTAATTTACAATAGTTCTAGTACAAAGAAAAATATGGCAGCGAACCATACATCAGACGTAAGCTTATGTTAAGTGAAATAACTTCCCTTAAAAATAGCTTCTGTTGTATATCATGGCTTCTTTGTTTCTCTATTCACACCTACTAGATATATGATACACTCTTATTGAACACTGTAAAAAAGAAGATTAGATAAATGTCACACATTTTATACAATGCTTGTACTTATGGTTGCTCATCCATCTGTGTTTATGAATAACTAACTGATTAATTGAATGAATATTTTATGTCATTTTATTTTCTGATTCTTCCCCTTTTGTACATTTGATATTGTTCAATATATTTCTAATTAATTTATGAGTTTCTTCGAGTTCATCTCTCCTCAGGTTTACAAATATCAGTCAGTCAGGTACAACGTAGGATCAGGCATATATGTGCAGTGGCTCAACTTGCCATATCTCATTAGCACAACAAGATGAACACCGGATTGATAGAAGCAGTTAACTCAATAGTGTAATATATAAAAGACAGATTTTATGTATGGATATAGTACAGGAAGAAAGAATTAGTTTGTAGAAAGAAAGATATGAAGTGATTTTAATCTTATAATTTAAGGGAAGATAGAGAGTGTATACACCTACACCATTGTGATCGATTTGGAGCCATGTCACTCATAGTCTCTAACCATTGGTTATGATAGTCACGCGGACTCCAACTAAGTAGTCTCCATCTATCAACATGGCTCAGACCAGGAGTTATTGACTTTGTGGAGTGATGCCACGTTTTGGTTTGGCCACCTCTAACTTCGTTCCAACCATCCCCAACACTAGTCAGCATTGCACGTCGTGGTAATGGGTGTTGAGGCATACGCAACAGGTGGCCCAACCATCTCAATCGATGAAGATTCACAAGTTCATCAACTGATTTCCCATCATCATTCCCCAATACCCTGTGTCTAGCTTCACTATTACTTACTCGGTGATTCCAGCAGATGCGAGCAATATTTCTAAGGCATCTGTGATCAAATACTTGTAGCTTATGAATATCTTCTGTTCTTAAAGGCCACGTTTTGCAACCGTAAAGTAAAATAGAACGAACTGCAGCGCAGTATAGTCATCCGCTAATTGATAGACAGATATATCGACTTCGCCATAGGAGACATAAGTTGGCAAAAGCCAAATGTATCATCAATATAGTGTTTTCTTCAAATCTTTGAATTGATTATTAATAAAACTACATAACCTTCAGTTTTTTCATCAACCCTCTCTCCTGAATTAGAATGAAGTAGTTGCTAGGTACTATTGTGTTATCTTTTGAATTAAACAATTCACTACGGAAATCATCTGTCTAATTAATTCTTTTGACATTGGAATTATACTCTTTAATAATAAATCAATAATTAAAAAAAATTTTTTTTTTGCTAAATAACATAACAACACATGTTTTTCATTACCTTTCTATCTTTTAAATACCCTCACCTTTATTTTATCCCCTTTTAGTCTTATTTTTCTTTCATACTTATTCGTGTTATTGTATGTGTAGAAATATTTAAGTAAATTTTTTTTTAGCTTTTATTGTTAATAATACTTACTTGTTTATATTTGAATATCGATGTCTATGTATGACTGTTTGTTTGTTTAGTTGTTCCCTCTTTCTTTCTCTCTCGCCCTGTTTTTCGCCTTTCTTTACATCTGCTGATTATTGATTTTTAGCTGCCATAGCAATAATTACATATGTTGAATATATTACTATAAGATTCATATAATCAGTAGTATGTAGTAATGTTAATAATATTGTGTTTTCACTTATTTGGCTTGTATCTTCCCGTTGAGGTTTAAGATTGCAATTGATCAGTCTGTTATTGGCATATGTGCATACTGTGTGTATGCCTTGATCTATTGCCTTAATTCACAAGCTTTTTGTAAGCAATGATGGATAGTGGATAACGCGATGGCGTTTGGAGTGAATCGTACTGGGTTCGAGTCACAGAGTGAACATCAACTCTGAGATGCAGGTACATCCAACTGACGAGTCCTAAATAGGACGAAACGCGCGTCAAACTGGATTCCACTGCTAGCCACTATCCATCATTGCTTACAAAAATATTATGTTTTGTTGTTAGTTTATCATTTATATATTATATTCATTTGGAGTTTCATTTCTCTAATGTTAAGCTTTTCTAATTTTTTTATGTTTCTAGTTGTAAATTGTGTGTATAATTTACGTTTGGTAATGTTAAAGATGTCTTGTTGATTAATACTACTCATCAGAATATGAGTAGTTAAATAATGCCTACTTGAAGTTGTCGTAACGTAAAGCGGTGCGACTATAATTTATGAACGACCTCCGAGTGACGCTAATGAGACCTTAAGAATGTCCACCTACATACTACGGCTAAATAAAGGTTATAAACCAGCATGAGGAATTAAGATTAATGTTTACAGTTGATGGTTAGGGTTAGGAATCAGATATAGAATTTCCATCACGAACTGACATTAGCTATAATGCCAAAACTCTATTTAACCATATGGATGAGTGAATTTTGCGCCAAAATTCAAGGCTTGTTATCGTAAATCTGATTGGTTTGTCCATAAATTATAGTCTCGCCCGTGAAGCATAGTCGGTGAATAATGTTAAATTTTTTACTCAAGATTTCCCTATGATGATTTAATTCTTTTCTAGCTATTTAGATACATCCCGGCAATCATAGATGAAGTTGCATATCATTAGGTCTGAAATTAAGGAATTTGATTACCGGCCACTATATCACGAGTTCAAGTCACTTTTCCTTCCTTCTCTTTGGATGTATGGGTAGTATTACTCGTCCCCCTACAGAGTGTTTCACATCTAGTTACACTAATCTGTACATACTAGGTAACAACAAGGTAAAACTGGACACAAATATGTTTTGGACCGGCATGACTAGTGGCATGCATCAGTTGTGTTTCTATTTCTAATGAGTAAGTTTTGCCTTCACTTACTTCGGTTGGACTAGTTAGGTAGTATCACAAGTTTAACCTGGAACATTTAATTCAAAAGGGAATAGGATAAATAAATTAAAATAACAAAAAGTTTTCGATAACTTTAACAAAATCAAGAACTTAACTACTAAGTTCCATTATCCTATAGCTTATGAAATGAGTTGAATTTTAATTCATTTTCATATTCATTGTTTTGATCTTCCCATTTTATGTTCAAGACTGTAACTATTCAGTTTCAAATAGGACAAAATAAGTGTGTTGTATTCTGTTACATGTGACATTAGTCAATCCCTACAGAATGCATATATTTGTTAATAAAAGTCTGATTAATCAAAGTCCTAAACATCAATAAGAAGATTTAAACAATCGGCGAGACTACAATTTATAAACGAACCAATCAAGTTCTCGGGATTTGGTACGAAATCTATCCATCCATTGCCCCCGAATGCCCTGGTATGGCTGAGAGTGGGGTGGGCCCGCCCTCCCTCTCGGAATGCTCTCACACAGCCACGCGTATACAGCCTCTGCCAGGGAAGTCCTACTCACTGCCTTCTCGTGGCGGGGATGTTGTTTACGAAATTGAGAGGACGAAAAGCGAATGTCGGGCGCTTTAACCGGATTCCAAACCAATGGTGCACATGGACTACAGTATCCTGCGTAACAAATGGCGTATGAACCAATTGTTGGTCACCGGCTACCATGGGACTGCATCTCCTGACGTTGCTCCACTGCCTTGTGGGTTAGACCTTTAGGTCAAATGCTCGGGGTGTGGTCGCCTAGGGTAACCACTTGCTTCGGTCTGGGCACCCGGGAGTATCCCAGCCCTCACACAAATCGAATGATTTATATGGCGCATATGTATTTGGTGCCTCCTCTCACCAATGTTTATGTGGTTAAATAAACTATCCTTCCATTTGTCTAAATAAAGTTTTGACATTAAAGCTAATGTCAGTTTGTGATGAAAACACTAAATCTAATTCCTAACCTTAATTATCAACTAGCAATCATAATTCTAATTCCTCACAGAGGTTTATAACTTCATTTGGTCCTGGTTATTAAGTAGGACACTCTCAAGGTCAGTCTAGCATCGCTCAAAGATCGTCCATAAATTATAGTTTCATCAAATAATCAATACAAAACGGAATCATTCATTGTTTAATGGGTTTATTTATTCATAAAATCTAATTATACATTCTTATATTTCTTCTATTTATCATTTATTTTTATATTCTGTTTTATATATTATGCATATGTAAACATCAGCATAAATTATCAACATTGTAGATTGAATGAAAATATAAAGAAATGTTTTTATGAGATATGTAAGACTAACTACAAAATGAATAAAATCGATATTAATACATGTTTTAATGATAATCCAGTAATGGTAATAATATTATAAACTTACCTGGAGCTGTGTTCAGAGTGATCAGGAATGCTATACACCTGGTGGAGGAGGCTCACCATTGCACCTCGGTGAGTTGAAATCCGCAATGAACCCTAATCGGGTGTGCTCGGGCGTGTAGTTATAATCAGTGCTCCCAGGTTTTCTATGGTGGTCTAGCTTCAATTGACTCATGATCTCAAATATTAAAATATACATAGATTGATTGGTAAACTTGTGGAGTTTAGACATATCACTATGTTGACCAGGAGTATTTGAATCAATTGGTTTCGGGTGGTGGCAACATGAAATCTCTTTTCATAAACCATAATGTCAACGATGAAAGAGATAGGATACGTGTTAGCAAACTTGTAGTTCATTTGCTTCCAAATGTTCAATACATACGAGTAAGAAAGAACGGGGACAGGAAGCATTAGGTATGGAAATGCAGGAACAATGTAGTCTGAGATAATTGACTGATATTTGCAAAAGGAACAGTCGAGTTGAGACAATTGATTGACATTTTGCAAATAAAGTATTTACTGTATTGTTCTCAGATTTTACTAAGATGTTCTGTAATTTTGTATGCAAATACATTCCATTGTCTTCACTTGTATTCTTGTTCACGACATATCCATCATAGTGAACAACCAGTTTCTTCAACAAGAATGCATTTCCAAATATTGTTACATCAGGTTAGACTTGACAGACTTGAGAAAATCAACCCCCTAAAATCTTAATTTCAAACTCAGACATAGTACTCGTAGCAGGTGACTTTAATACCCAAGTAGGTAGCTTAAACCAAACAGAAAGTCATTTAGGTGGGTATTTTAGTATCTCCGATCAGCGAACAGATAATTGTGATCATCTGCTGCAACTGTGCTCTTTTTAGCAAACACTAATTTTAAGCATTAAGAAAAGACATAATCTAAATTGGCGATCCCTTGCACCAAACCAACGATAGACTCAAACAGACCATATTGCCATCAGTCATCGTTGAAGAGGCTCGATATAAGACCTTCACTCGTTCTGGAGTACCTGTTTGGATTCCGACCGTGCTCTAATACGAGCATGCATTTGCTTGCGCCTCACTGGACGCAGAAAAACCACATTAAGAAGACCATTAGAATTGAACTGAGTGACGAGAAAGCCAACTTTCTTTCTGTACTATATTCTTATATACAATCTTTCTTTCATAGATTACCACCATTGAATGAACTACTATGAATTTGGTGTTCATCTTGTTGTGCTAATGAGGTATGGCAAATTGAACTGATGCATATATGTGCCTGGTTCTACATTGTAACTGACTGACTGACTTAATTTCAACGTATTTATTTCATGAATGAATTTTTAATCGTATCTATTAGTTTTACTGTTATCTTTTAAGTCTTTGGTTGTAATCACACATTAGATTGAGTCAACTGAATTACATAACTAGCCCTCACACAAACAATGTAACTCTAAATGTAATAAACTTGTATTATTAGTATCTGACTCGTTTACAATAACACTTTGAATCGATTTGCAGTTAACATCAGGTCGTACATATATGGATATAATTTTCAATATATTTACATTATACTTCTATTATTTTTTTTTTAAATAGAAGGGTCAATTCTTAGACAATTTCCTATCGGCTTACTTTGTATCATGTCATCCACAACCTATAGAAAGTGATATTAATAATTTGGAAATGATTAAATTAAAATCTTCATCCGTTCATTCTACAACTGAAACTGGTAGTTATTCTACTTCTTTAATCCATTATTAAATACTACTAATAATCATATAAGTAGTACGAATAACGTTGTTGATGATACTACTTTTCATTTTTCAACAATTTCATCAACCAATGTACTACAGGATAGAAATCTTATACATAAATCAAATTATAATAATTTTAAAGTGGATACATATCCTGTAGAGAAACATATTGATTATTATAGTCGTTATGTATTAAATTCACCGCAACATAAACATCAAAGTCGTACAAGTTTAGATCATCGTCTACGTTCACGTATCTATTGGAATAATGCGGGATTAACGTATGAAAACAAAAGGATACAATAAATCAGGTAAGTCACATATTTCTTCCTGTTCTGAAAATAAAAAGTATTCGTAGTTCAGATCATGAACTGATCTTACTATTGGGAACCTGGAAGCATTGAACGATCATTTCGTTCTAGTATGCAACTCCTAAGCAGTGCACATCTACGAACCCTCATCCAGAAATCGAGGTTTTTTCTTTGTGTGTAAGGGAGATAGGGTACGTTTGGTGGTGTTGAGTTCTCTGAGCTGAGATGGTTTAATAGTGGAGCTTTCATCGTCATTCTAGACAACATTCTCATTATGCCTACTTCATTAATAACTCAATACTCTACCTGTGTTTGTACAGAGTAGTCACTAGTTTGAAGTCACAACTTCATCATCAAAGGTGAAATTAGTGAATTATGGTTTAGCTGGTAAGAAAACTAATGTTATTAAAACTATTTGATCTCTGTTAATTTGTTTCCGTACTTCAAGTGATAACTGAGTAGTGACTGTGATCGGGAATACGTGACCATATGTAACCACATGTACCGATAAAAGTTTACAAACTCATACTTATACTTATATCTTCTAACAATATAGCTGACTCAGTAGTATTATTGTATTGAAGGAGAACACAGGTGAGGACAACCGAATTATATTTGGCACACAGAGTTACTTGGTAACATAGTAAAACCATACTCTAATACTTAATTTGCAAAATGTTCAGTCATTGTCTCAGACTTCATTGTTTCTGCATTTCCATACCAATTGCTTTCTATTCCCATTCTTCCTTTCTTGGTCTCCTCAATCTTCTGCTTGAAAATATTGTATTCCTGACTCGCGTTATATATATATATATATATATATATATATATATATATATATATATATATAATTCTCAAAATTCTAGTGAGAGTTCTTGACTAATGGAGTTCAAATGTGAGGCAGTTACCCACCGAAGACAATGAAAGATTGCCGCGCAATGTCTCGGATTGGTTGAAGTTAGATATTCACGCCTTTGGATACTGGCTCAGTAGTCTCAAGGTTAAGCGTTCTCGCGCGAGACCGACGGTCTTGTGTGCGGGATCATGAATGCACACTTCAGAGGTTTTATTTATTTATTTGAACACATAAATATTGGTACAAGAGGGCACCAAATATACATGCGTCACACTTTGTGTGAGGGCTGTGATACTGCCTGGGCGCCCAAACCGAAGCAGGTGGTTTTCTTAGGGGACCACACTCGGAGCCTTCGACCTTAAGATCTGATCCACAAAACAGTAAAACAACATGAGGAGACTCAGTTTCATGGTAGCCAATGATCAACGATTGGTTCATATGTCATTTGTTCCTTCAGGATACTGCAGCCCATGTGCAGCATTTGTTTTGAATGAGGGTTTTTCAACTCATCTAGGTGGATTTACCATATCGACCAATCCGGTTAAAGCATTGAACATTCACTTTTCGTCCTGTCAATTTCTTCAATCATTGACCCCTCCACGAGAATGCAGTGAGTAGGATTCCTCTGGTAGTGACAGTATATGCTCGGCGGTCATATGAGAGTATTTGTAGAGGGAGAGCTAACTCTTCTCATCCTTGGTCGTATCAGTGCATTTGGTGTATCGGTTTCAATTCAACAGTCTCCATAACCCTATACTAATCAATATTTTATACTTCATTATAAAATAAATCTTTTTTTAAAAAATTATTTTTATTTCTAGTCATCTAACTTATCAACAGTTCATTTAACAAGTTTATCTGAAATCATTTTATATTTTTTGGAGAAAATTATCACATTATTATCAAATCATATTTTTCAAATGATAAGAAATTCTCTCGTCATTCAAATCATTCACAATTTTCATCTCATGTTGAAATGATACACATCATCATCGTCATCAACAACAACAACAGCAGCAGCAGCCACCGCATCATCTTCATCTATTCAAAGAATGAATTCATTACATGAAATGAATATAGATAATATAAAATCATCCATTGATCCTTGGGATATTACTAATCCATATTGGAATGAAGCATTTTTAAATGGTCCATCTTTATCAAATGTAATGACTACTTCTTCTCCTCCTTCTCCTTCTCCACCTTCTACTACTAATACTACTACCACTACTACTAATACAATCATATTACTTCAAGAAGTTATCAGTCGTCTTCGTCGTCGTCATCATCATCCTCCTCCTCATCATCATCATCATCATCGGAAACTAGACTAGATTCTATTCAATCACATTATATACCAATAATATCTATTAATTTCAATGATATTTATGATGCTATTTATGAATTCTATTTATTTATTATAAAACAATGTCAATTCTATTTCTATTATTTAATTTATAAAATAATTATGATTTTATTTATTTATTTTAAATCATCAATTAATTATTGGTTAATGAATTATTTTATACAATCTATTTATGAAATAATTTCTGATGAGAATTTAGCTCATATATTAAATAATATTAAAAGTAAGTTGAATAATTTTTTTTCTCTTTTGTTGTTGTTGGCGGTGGTGTTTTTCTTTCTCTTTCATTCTCTCTATTATGTAACACTTCAATATCCTATGTGACCGATGAACTCATATTGATTAATGTTCATGTCTAACTTTAATCAATTCATGTAATTATTATCATGAATCTATTGATGTTAGACTACCATGGTAAACCTGTAAGCATTGAACAACCGATTTGTCCCAATATGGGACTTATCAACAGTAAGCATCCACGATCACACATGCAGGACTTGAACTCACGATCTTTAGACTCTGGCGCGTGAACACTTAACTTCTAAACTACTGAGTTGGTATTCAACAGTGTCAATGTCTAACCTCAATCAATCCACAAAATTACGCGACCATCTTCCATTGTATTGAGGTAGATATCTGTCTCTATTTGACATGGATTAGCTCCACTGGTCATAGCTTCTCTTTAGAACTCGGAGAATTCTCTCATGAAGATAGCCACTAGTGAGCAAATGGTAATTATGAGTATGGGGTTGTAGAGATTATTAAGTTTTTGATTGAGATCATGAATCGACTGATGTTAGACCACTTTAGTATTAAAGGTCGCCCATTAACTATAGTCTAGCCAAGTTGATTTATCCAATATTATATTAAAGATTCCAGATAAACAGAATTGCTCTCAATATTTTGTACGTGAATTCAGCTAATCTTATCTTGGATTAATTGAAGTTAGAATTGTACACCACTGGTTGTATGGCGCATATATATTTGGTGCCCTCTAGTACCAATATTTATGTGTTCGAAAAAATAAATTAGTAACATCACTGGTTGTCAGCTCAGTAGTTTAAAAGTTAAAAATTCACACGTGAGACTGAAGGCCGTGAGTTTGATTCCCAAATACCGAGTCGTAGATGTGAACTGCTGAGGAGTCCCATACTGGGATGAAATGGCATTTCATTGTTTCAAAGCTTTTGATAGTTGTTTTCGCTTAGATTGGTTCGTGGTTTTGACGTAATTATCCTGGGTATTTTATCTTGCTATATTTATCTATTTTCTCTGACCCCGACCGTAGCTGCTACCCTGACGTGGTGGTCGGGCTTACCTATCGTGATGACTCTGTTGATCGTGAGGTTCTATGGCAGTGTTTGTCACTGAAAGGAGTACCAAAGAAGTACATTAACCTTGTAAAGGCTCTATACACGAACACAACAGGTCGAGTGAGAGCTTATGGCGAACTGTCATCAGAATTGATTACCTCAAGTGGTGTTCGTCAGGGCTGTTCACTTTTACCATTCTTGTTTAACTTTGTCGTTGACGTGCTTTTAGAGATAACACTTTCTTCATCTAAATTTCCAGGAGTTGAACTTTTACCGGGAGATTCACTTGTTGACTTAGAGTATGCTGATGACATAGTTCTATTTGGTGAGCACGCTGATAAAATGCAGAGTCTTCTGACCACCATAAACAACAATGCAGGCATGTTCGGGATGCGATTCTCTCCCTCGAAATGCAAAATTTTGCTTCAGGATTTGGTTGTATCGGCACGTGAACTAATGATAGGTAGTGAACTAGTTGAGTGTGTCGACTACTTCACTTACCTTCGGAGTCTTATCTGCCCTTGTGTTCTAGTGTGTGACGACATCTCAGCACGAATACAGAAGGCTCAACTAGATTTTGCCAACTTGCGTCATTTATGGCGTAGACGACATATTCGTCTATCAACCAATGAACGGGTTTATTGCTCAGCAGTTTGTTTCGTCCTACTATATGGCAGTGAAATATGGCTGGTAAGAGTAGAGGATATTCGTAGGTTACTAGTATTTGAAGCATTGCTCGTATATCCCGGGACCACCGAGTAATTAATGCAGTTGTTAGAAAACGGGCACCAGGTAAGGATGGCGAATCAATTAATGAGATGACTGGGACGTATGTTACGTATGCCCAACCACCGACTGCCCCTACGTGCGAACTCGAACTGATGTACGTGCGTACATGCGAAGTTCTACGTTGTTGCTTATGGTAAACTTTCATAAAAAATTTTTTACATCAAATAGTGTTCGTCAGGATTCTCCCTTTTCACAATATAAGGCGCGCTACCACTTAGTTACTCGATATTGAACTGATTTCCTATAGGAGTTAGATATCTACATTTGATTGATAACTAATCATTACCATGTTTACCTAACAGTTGCTAGTCAAATAGTTTAATCACTGAGTTATCACTCTACTTTCAACTAGCTGAATATACACATATATCACACATTAAGTTAGTTATCCATATAAAAGAATTCTAGCCTTCAAGTATATTTCATTAAGAGATAATTTTACATTTGACTAAATGTTAACTAAATTTTCTTCTTCATTCATTTACCTTTTCTATTTTATTATTTAGCAAGTATATTCTTTCATTCTTCTAAAAAGTAAGTATGTTTATAATATAACATCTTCGTCAATTTGTGTTAATATAACTTGAATAAAATGTAACCTATTGACTTAATTTTTTTCTGGGATTACCTCATCTCATACATTTTATTGAATGGTTTCTGTTATCACTTGTGGTCTGAATGCCCTGGTAATGTATAATGTAATGATACCGGCAATTAGAGAACAGTGAATTATCGATCGGACCAATAATGCATAAAACTCGTACGAGCAGTTTAGAGTCCTTATCGGTCCTGCTTCCTATCTAGCCCTGCCTGTGAAGTCTAGAACACCAATCTCAGCCTTCAAGATATGAATCATGTATTTCAAACATATTGGGTTTATATACCAACCAGACAAATCACAACGTACCATAAAATAGGAAACAGTATTTGTATAAGATTTAGCCAAAAGTGTCTGTGAATGTGGGAGGCAATGACTAAAAGACAGGGCATAATTCAAGAATGGTAAAACGTATAATAATAGTTCATAGGTCAAAATAAAGTTCATAATAGGAGGGACACGAACATGAACAGTTTAGTTACTTAACAATTATACGATAAAAATATACGTATAATATTGGTCCATAAATGGATTCCGAAATTACCATTCATTATTATTATCGGGATATAACAGTTTCGTCTTTTGTTTCAACATTGCACACATATTTTAAAGACTATAGTATGAGTAATACTGTAATGAATAACAACACGAGTTGGGATAATCGAATGTATTTGAATATGAAATTACAGAATATCTCTTTAAAATCTAAGAACCATACAGTAAAGCTTGTGACTTCAGGCAATATCGAGGCAATCCGCCCAGTATGCACATATGCTAACAAGGGATTGATCAATTTCAGTTTTAAAATAACAATGGGAAGATAAAAGTAAACAACAATACCAAGTGAACATATAGTAAATACTTAATCTGCAAAATTACTTAGCTTACTTACGCCTGTTACTCCCAATGAAGCATTGGCCGCCGACCAATATTCTCCAACCCACTCTGTCCTGGGCCTTTCTTTCCAGTTCTGTCCAATTTTTGTTCATTTTTCTCATGTCTGTCCCCATTTCTAGGCGCAATGTGTTGTTTGGTCTTTCTCTTTTCCTTTGGCCTTGAGAATTCCATGTGAGGGCTTGCCTTGTGATGCATTTGCGTGCATTCCTCATGTGTGTCCTATCCACTTCTAGCGCTTCTTCCTGATTTCTTTCTCCGCTGGGATCTGGTTTGTTCTCTCCTACAGTTGGTTGTTGCTGATAGTGTCTTGCCAAGAAATTCGAAATATTTTGCGTAGACAACTGTTAATAAACACTTGTATCCTCTGGATGATGGCTTTCGTTTTTCTCCAGGAATTTACAAAACACCAATCCATTTTCTTAAACTTGACTGTTTCTTTTGCAAATATCAGTCCATTGTCTCGGATTTCATTGTTCCTGCATTTTCATAGCAATTACTTCCCGTTCCCATTCTTTCCTTCTCGATCTTCTACTGAAATACATTTTATTCCTGACTGTCGTTTTATACTACTTATGTGGATATAAGTAGCTCACACTAATACTGCGGACATTTAGACGCATACTATTGGACCAAGATGATCAATCGATTGATAAGATTGTTATCTTCATCGATGAATATGTTTTGGACAATCGTCTCCGCTGATCATGACTATTCATTGAAACTCGTGAAATTTCTATTTGAGATCGGGCTTAAAGATCCTGGGTTCGACCCCTGACAGGGTCGCACACACTGATACAAAAAACATTTTACGTACATATTGATTGAAATAAATTGACAGAAACACGTATTACAGCTTTATTAAATTGTTTTATTTACTCCAAATTATACATTTCACGACTGCAACCATAGCGAAAAGTATCCTGTAAAGAATTTCTACAGCTATGAAGAGTATTTAGTAGATTTATAGCTGAACAAGGTTCTTTGAAATTGTTAACTAAGATCAGTCTGTGAAGTTAACCCTGTAGAATTCCACGAAGCCTATAATAATAATTTACTTACTTGTTACTAATTTCGAAAGTTAGTTCCCGTAGTTCTAGTGAGAAACCGTGATCATTAGAGTCCACCAATGATAAATTTAACACAGTAACCCACGAATTATATCTCGAATTGATTAAAGTCGAATATGTAAATGATTAGATACTGACTCTATAGATCAAGTGCTCATTGAAAGACGTGAAGATTCTGGCTTTGATCCCCAATAAGGTTTCGAAAGCTCACTACCGAACGAAACAACTAGCCAATGATTCCTAGTTTTTAGTGATTTTTTCTTAACCACCATCATCATTAATCCACTACTTTTATAAAAATTAATTAATTATGAATACTTTACATCTTCATAGAACTGATATGGATAAGTCAGAACGTAAAGAAAAAGCACGTATTGCAATGAAAAAGCGATTCTAAGTAAGTATTTACATTATATTGAGTATTGCATGTTTTTTTCTTTGTGTAATTTTGTTAAGAAAATTGTAATGACCATGTGGCTTATTACTTTCATTTTAATTGAGAAACCAATACAATTCCTGTGTTGCGCGAAATAGCAACACAGAAGATGGATACATGTAAAGATTTATTAAGACATTGTGTTCTGGTTAGTGTTTTTTTTTAGCGAGTTAGTTTTCTACGGAATGGGGTCGCTAACCCTATGCCCAACCCTCCTCCTTTATCCGGGCTTGGGACCGGCAGTAACTCTAGAAGAGTTACAGGTGGAGTTAAGACATTGTATTAGATCAAATATTCTCTGATGTTCAAATTGACGTATAGATTCAGTTTAGGGTTATTAGATGTGGCTGAATGATCAACTGACATTGATGATTAGCGATGTGTTGTATTTTAAGTTACTACTTATCTCTCTCCCTCCTAATGTTCCATCTTGATATCATCCACGCTACTAAAACAGAATCAAACAGATTAGTGAATAACAAATTTGTATATTTTAATTTAATGCTAGATAGTTGAAAATGTTTGACTAGGATATTTATGGACCCTATGTAGTTCTCATGCTATTTTTACACTATTATCAAGGTGTCATTATTTACAAACTTAAGATAAATAACCAATGGTTGGAGACTCTTGGTGACATGGCTCAGAATCGATCAACCACTGCTATGAATCCGGTGTTCATCTTGTTGTGCTGATGCGGTATGGCAACCTGGACCGATGCACATATGTGCCTGGTCCTACGTTGTAGCTGACTGACTGACTGTTTCTTGTTGTATGGGAACATTTGTTTACCAGAAGTCGTATTCTCTGTAAGTCGTAACCCATAAGCTATTCAACTCTATAGATTATCAATACACATCAATTGAAATCGTTCGTATGTTTAAGTACAATCACTATTTTATCTATCTCTTAGTTATACATACCGCTATTATTGTTGTTTCGATTTGACCGTTTCCTATTGTGATATTCTCGTTATACTCATATAACATGCTATATCACTTATCCCTCCTATGTTTTACCGTTGGTTAAAACTAAATAACTGACTAACTATTAAAATTCTATGACATTTCTCAACTTGGTGTAACATGATGCCTTTCTAATCTATTTGTTGAAACAATTATCGAAAGTACCCGTAACCTAGAAGTAGTTAATTCAGTGGTGATAATATATAAAAGATTGCATATAAAGATATAGTACAGAAAGAAAGAATTAGTTTGTAGAAAGAAAGATATGAAGCTATTTTAATCTCATAGTTTAATGGAAGACAGAGCGTGTATACACCTACGATCGATTCTGAGCTGTGTCACCCATAGTCTCTAACTATTGGTTACGATAGTCATGCGGACCCAAAACAAGTAGTCTGTATCTACAAACATGGCTCAGACTAGAAGTTAGTGACTTTGTGAACTGATGCCACGTTTTGGTTTGGCTGCTCCTAACTTTTTTCAGAAATCCCCTACACTAGTGAGAATTGCGCGTCATGGTAATCGGTGTTGAGGCATATGTAACACGTGGCTCAATCATCTCAATCGATGTAGATTCACAATCTCATCAACTGGTTTACCATCATTCGACATCTAAATATCTTTCCAAATCCTATTGTAAAACACCAGGATAGGCAAAGGAATTCATTTGTTGTGAGAAGTTACTAAGTATCTATATAATACATTATTCATAGCCTTCAGTCTTTCATTTACATGTTTTGGTGCGTTCTTTCATCTGGACTGTCTCCTCTTCTGGTGGCCAACTCGCGCTTTTGGTGCACTGAAACTTTTCACTGCTTCTGACAATTGTAGCAACTTGGACGTCACGTTCCGATACACACACTGCTTACAAACAATGTTGTGAGCAGCGTCCACTACACTACTAGTTTAGTCATATACTAATTTTTATCATCATAAATTTGAATCATTAAAAATCTTTTTTATAAGTATTCCAAAAGTGAATTCATTTAGCGGATCACTAAAAAACAGTAACCATTTAATAGCTTATTTTCCTAGGCTTGGGAATTAATTGAAGTTAGAAATGTAAACCGTTGGTTCCTAGCTCAATATACTGAATGATTAATCGCTCCATGTGAAGCCTAATAGCTACTAGGTTCAGTCCTTCATTGAGTAGTACGTAAACACTACTGATGAATTCCATACTACAGTTGTATAGCTGTCTAGTTGTTCCTGGTTCCCACTGTTCCTGTAAGTAAATTCGAATTGTAATGTTAAATTAGAAAATTCAGTAATTCTCACAATCCCCTCCATTTTAACTGCCATTATTGCCGCCAAACACCCTATCTCGGCCGACAATCCGCTGTTCTCGAAATACTTTCACATGGCCACACATATACATCCACTGTTAGGTAAGTCGTACTCACTATTGAGAGCACGAGAAGCAAATGTTCGGAGCATAAACCAGGTTGATGGATGTGGAAGATCCACCTAGGTTGGTTGGAAACCCTTATTCAAAACCAATCGTGCACATGGGTTCCAGGTTCCTAAGAAAACAAATGGTGTATGAGCCTGATATTGGTCAGTGGTTATTTATTTATTTATTTATTTTAACACATAGACATTGGTACAAGGAGGCACCAAATACATATGCACCACACAAATCCCATTCGATATGTGTGAGTGCTGTGATACTGCCCGGGTGCCCGGACCGAAGCAGGTACTTTTCTTAGGGGGCCACACCCCGAGCATTCGACCTGAAGGTCTAATCCACAAGGCAGTGGAGCATCATAAGGAGATGCAGTCCCATGGTAGCCGGCCACCAACGATTGGTTCATACGCCATTTGTTACGCAGGATACTGGAGCCCATGTGCACCATTGGTTTGGAATCCGGTTAAAGCGCTGGACATTCGCTTTTCGTCCTCTCAATTTCGTAAACAACATCCCCGCCACGAGAAGGCAGTGAGTAGAACTTCCCTGGCAGAGGCTATATACGCGTGGCCATGTGAGAGCACTCTCGGCCGTACCAGGGCATTTGGGGACTGCATCTCTTAACGTTTCTCCACTGCCTTGTGGATCAAACCTCTAGGTGGAAAACTCGGAGTTTGACCCTCTTAAGAGAATCCTCTGTTGGGCACCCGAGCAGCATTCGATCTCCCACGCAAATCATCAAATGATTTCTGTTGCACTATTATATTCAATGTTCAAATAAACAATCCCTATTATTATATGTGATTAGTTTAATTCTTCTCTATCTATATTTCTATTCTTCCATTATTATTTTAGATATAACTGGTCTTTCATATTTCACTGATTTAGAAATTATACATGATCAATTAAATCGAATATTTGATTGTTTTCAATATTCTAAATGGAATAAACAATTAACTTATATTCTATTAGATCAATTCCTTTTAGAATTATTTCCGGAACTTCATTTAAATAATACAAATAATAATAATGATGAGATGAATACTAATACTACTCATACTACTAATAATACTAACACTAATGCTACTACTACTAATACTACTAATGATAATAGTGATATGATGCTTAGAGTATGAATTAGCTTCTCATGATTATTATCTCTTATACTACACACATGAAATATTATTGTACAGAAATTATATTTGTGTAAAATTCATTTTGTTTACTTGGAGATTATTATTACCATTATGTCATTATTTTTATGTGACTTTTCACGCACGCGCACACACACATACACACGACAGTGTACCCCCCTCCCTCTATAAATATATACTTAGATACACAACTGTATATGGATTGTCATATTATGCAATAGTTATATTATCATTTGAGTTACATTTTTATTGTCCTTTACTGTATACTGTTTGTTCGTTGTTGTTGTTGTTGTTGCTTCTGCTGTTGTTATAAATCAGTTGCTTGTTTCATTCATTTGTTGTGATGAAAAAAGAAAAGAACAAGAGAAAGAAAGAAAGAAAAGGAAAACAATTATACCCTTACATAATCATATTATTATTATTACAGATCATGTTTAATGTAATATAAAGATAAACAAATATGTATATTGGTATGAATCTAATTTCCACAGATTGAAATCATGAGTCAGTTGAAGCTAGACCACCATTGAAAACCTGGAAGCACTGGACGGCCGTTTCGTCCTAGTGTGGGACACATCAGCAGTGCGCATCCACGATCCCGCACCACGCGGGGCTCGAACCCAGGACCTACTGGCTTCGTGCGCGAGCACTTGACCATTAGACCACTGAGCCGGCATCCAACGGTGTTAATGTCTAACTTCAACCAATCCACGAAGTTGCGCCACCATATACCATTGTCTTCAGTGAGCTGATATCTCACAACAGACCTGGTTGTACTCCACTGGTAACGGCTTCCCACTAGAACTCCAGGAGTATCTCTTGAAGTCAGTCACTAGTGAGCAGATGATTATTATCAGAAGGGGTTTGTGGAGATTTTTAGAAATTTTCACAGATTGAAATCATGAGTCAGTTGAAGCTAGACCACCATTGAAAACCTGGAAGCACTGGACGGCCGTTTCGTCCTAGTATGGGACACATCAGCAGTGCGCATCCACGATCCCGCACCACGCGGGGCTCGAACCCAGGACCTACTGGCTTCGTGCGCGAGCACTTAACCATTAGACCACTGAGCCGGCACTGCTGATGTGTCCGAAGCCTCGTTTAGGGTATTATGAATCTAATTTCATTGAAATTAATCTCAATGTAGAATTAGTAATAAAACATTGATATAACACTTTGTTATTATATTCATTATGTATGGTTTGTTTACTTGTGTACACATACACATACATACATACATACTCTCTCTCTCTCTCTCTCTTATATATATATATATATATATATATATATATATATATATATTCACTTGATATTGTTTTCCTTGAATCTTTCCATTGATGTTTTAGGACTGAAATTGATCAGTCTCTTATTGGTATATGTGCATACTGTGCGTATGCCTCAATATTGCCTTAATTTACAAATATTATAAGCAAAGATGGATAGTGGTTGGCAGTGGAATCCAGTTTGACGCGCGTTTCGTCCTGTTTGGGACTCGTCAGCTGGATGTACCTGCATCTCAGAGTTGATGTTCACTCTGTGACTCGAACTCAGTACTGTTCGCTTCAAACACCATCGCGTTATCCACTTAGCTACTGAGTCTTGATAGCCACTTGCTTGTGCAATGGAGTGAAGTTTAAACTCACTTGATATTGTTTTACTTGAATCTTCCATTGATGTATATATATAGGGAGAGAGAGAGAGAGGCATGGATACATTGACTGTTGTTTATTGTACAATTTATCTTTCTTTGTTTTTAATTGTTTGTTTATTTACATTTAGATTATGAAATTAAATATACATAGGGGTACCAAATAGATATACACCGACACACAATAACACTGAGGCCGTGAAGAGATAAAGAATGTTAGATGAGTATTTTTTTTTTTAAAAAAAAGGGGGGGAACAACAACGAACAGAAATTAGTGTATAATTGGCGAAACAGTTCAATAAGCAAAGGTATAACCAGGAAGCATTCTTCCAGTTAAGAAGTTTCGTCAGCTTTTAATAAAGAAAGAGAAAGAAATTTACGGTGGAATCACCATTTTCTTTCATTCTGATCTATTTCCAATGACGTCTCTAGCTATTGTGTTGCGCAACATCGCTAAGA